GTGGTTGGTGGCAACCTCTACGCCTCTTCCCTTTTGCATTCCCTACCCCCCTGCCTCCCGCACACAACCCCCCTGGCCCTCCCACCACCACCACCCACCTGGGTCGTCTTGAGCGAGAATTGACCTTCGGCGGGCGCCGTCATCAAAGCCAGCCAAGCCCTTCTGCGCAAGGACGACGGCCAGGCCCAACCCAACACGGAATTCCCAACGTGTTTCGTTTACCGCGTTACGACCAGTAGACTGTTTTTTTTTCCACTTGCTCTGCTCAGGTCGATTTGAATTTTCCCCGTGTCAGCAAAAGAGAGCGCTCTCGTTTGAAATTTAGCGCCCCTCCCCGTCATTCGGGGCCCTATCGAAGCTTCTTGTCTTCTTCTTTCTTGACCAGTTTGTTGGTTTATCATCAAAACAATTCCCACAAATGTAAAAGTTTAAACATGTCTGAAACTACATCTTGAAAATGAAAATGTTTAAAAACAATAAATAGTTTTCATCTGTATTTCTTTGATCGAACTTTCTCTTTAGAATCACACGGTCATGAGGGATGTTTTCTCGGTTAAGAGTTATCAGGTTGGCAATGCATATTGTTTTGCTTGGGTTATCGCGGCAAGACGCCATAACACTGCTGTCGTGTTGAGTCCGAATGTCAGAAACGCCGAAATTTTGTTATTTTCTATGTAAATGTGTCACTTTAGCGAGTTCTTGGACTGACATTTCCTTGTACCGTTAGGGAGTATCCCTTGTCAACTCCATTCACTTCAAAAGAAGACCTTCGATGTATTTATAAGCAAAGGTTTGTATTGACTGCTATGGAGCGTCTTTATTTCCTAATGACAATTTTGTTTGTGTTTTAATATTTATAAGTTGTTTTACAACACATCTAAGCTTCAATTTTTAAGCTTGTTGTTATGGATTTTCTTGTTGGGTTTTAGAACTTCATTTTAATCCCGCCATGTTGTGTTTACAATTTCCTAACCTGTACATAGTTATTGATTGTTTACAGTACAAATTTCATTCATATTGTTTATTCTTTTTTTCTCTCCCATTCAATTATTTCTCCAACTCCATTTCCTCTAATTATTTTTGTTCGTCTGATGCCTCTCTGTTGTGCCTCTGTAAATCATATTGCAAATTCCAATTTTGTTTCAGCTTTCTAGCTACCTAATGGAGGATTCGGAGACCACCACATTGGACTCCATGCTCATGGAGGAAGCAATGGCTGACACTGAAAAGTCATCCGAAGATGCTGTTGTTGGGGACGGCACAGATGATACAGCTGATGAATCTTTGGGACTGGCACAAGAGGGTGAACTTGGAGATGGGGTGATGGACAATGAAGATGTTGAGATGGCTGACGGTGTTGCAGAAGACTCAGAGAACAATAATCTCGCACCCGAGGACTCAATGGATGCCCCAGCTGCACTGCTGGAGGGTGAAGATGAGTCCGAAGAGGTGTCCCAAGAACCTCTGTCTACTTCAGAGGGTCTTCTTGGTGGCCAATTTATTTCACAGACTGATAGCCTGATTGTACAAAATGAACCTCCCCAGCAGCTGATGGAGGAGGCTGAGGGAGAAGGTGATGTTGCTGACGGTGAACTAGAGGGAGATGGAGCCATTGTAGCTGAGGCTGATACTACTGACGAACCCTCTGAAGCTCTTGAGAAGAGTGAAGCAGGTGAAGAGTTGGGTGAGGAAGCATTGTTATTACAACAGGAAGGAGCAGAGCTCCTTCAGGAAGAGCAGGATGAGCCTGAAACAGTAGATCTCGGGGCCCTACCTGAAGGTATGACCCTTGTATCAGAGCACATGGAAGATGAAGCAGAAGCTGATGCTGAAGCCGACGCTGATGCTGATGCTGATGCTGATGCTGATGCCGACCTCACTGATGACATGATTCATGGAGAGGGAGAAACAGCAGACGATCAGGGTGAGACCACAGATGAAGCAATGGAACTTCCCCCGGACGATGATGATGATGATGAGACTGAAAACAGCGCCGCTGCTGGTATAACCCTTTTGGCTGGTTCAGAACTCAGTGAACAAGCTCTGAACGATTTAGAGGACAAGATTGCTGCTGTCACTGATGGGACCTCAGTACAGCTTCTTCCTGGACAGGAGAATCTTCAGGGTATGCAACTAATGGAGGGTGATGACAAACCTGAAGATGACACAGAATCAGCTGTTCAAGGACAAGCTTCACAACAGGAAATCCAAGCCCAGCTAAATGCTGCTTTACTGAAACAGGAGGAAATGAAAATTGAGGAAGAAGACCAGCCAGAGTCTGGGTCCTTCCAGGAGGGTCAGCAAAATGCTGAAGCCGACGCACTGGCCACTCTAGCATCAGCTGCCCTCGATCATCAAGCCCCGACTAATGGTGTTAAAGCTGAGGTAAGATTTTCTTGTTTTCTTCACAATTGAAAATATTTTAATACAATGATAAAAAAAAAATTCTTCATATGATTATTTCTTGTTCTAGCTTGATGATCAAATCAAAACAGAAAGTGACAGTTCTGAACCTCAGTGGATGGATGTGGGCATATGTAAGGGAACACATTGCCAAGTTCGTTCCTTCTATGTTGCCCGTCCAGGCCAAGGATGGGACCAGAACTGGGACGGTGTTACTACAAGTACTTTACCTGACCATAGAGCTCTAGCTAAATTAGAACTTGAATCTGGAAAAGCCTACAAATTTCGGGTAGCAGCAATTAACTCATGTGGCCGTGGGCCTTGGAGCGAGGTGTGTTGTTGGTCCACTTGGTAAACCACCATATTGTGAGGTATGGTATGTGATTGATTGATATAATTTGGAAAATGCTTCTTTCAGGTTGCCGCCTTTAAAACATCTCTGCCAGGCTTTCCTGGAGCACCTTCTGCAATCAAGATTGCTAAAACTGCTGATGGTGCTCATTTGTCATGGGAGCCTCCACCAATTGCATCTGGTGTCATTGAAGACTATCATGTGTACCTTGCAGTCAGAACTGCAACTACGGATTCATCAAAGGTAAAATATCTAATTTATTTTTATGTTCCAATTTTTTTTCTGTTTTAATTGCTTATGGATTCATGACTTGTATTTATTATCACAGCAAGTTGTTTCAAGCGGTGCTAACCAGTTAGCATTCGTGAGAATATACCAAGGCGCAGCTAATCAATGTTCTGTTGGTAATGATACCCTGAGCAAGGCTCACATTGATATGACTACAAAACCCGCCATACTCTTCCGTATATCAGCCCGGAATGAGAAAGGTATTGGACCAGCAACACAAGTCAGGTGGCTTCAAGGTATGTGTAATTGATCACTGACTTATTGTTTGGTGAATTGTAACCTGTATTGTTGTTGAGTTTATAAATTTTGGTATAATTTTTACCTTTGCAGAGGTCGGTACACCTAGCAATCCAGCAAGACCTGCTTTTGCTCCAAGACGACCAGCCGCAGACACCAAACCTCATGGGAATTACAAGAGGAAAAAGAGTGAATAAGAAAATCTAATGTGTAATTTGTAATTTAGAGGGTATTTTGTCTGGTCATCAACTGTTACATTTTTCAGTTTGGTTTTCTTTTCCTTGCCAATATTTTTACGTCGATTGTTCCCCCCCCATTTCTTTAACTCTCTATGTGTGTATTGCGAATCAAAACCTAGAGACTTCTCTAGCCACTTCTTAACTATTTATGTCCAGTCTTAAATACTTAGTTGCCTGCTTCCATTTTATTTTAAGATTTTAAATTAAGATACAGTCAAGTATTTTGACTATAGTATTTCTCTTCCTTACAAGATTTCTTATCTTATCTGTCTTCCTGTTGTTGTTTAGTAGTTCAGTGCTACTTTTATCCTGCCACACACAAGGACTAGCTCATCTGTCTAAATTTCAGTAATGTCAAAGCTTAATGTAATTGTGAATTGTACAGTTTATTTGTTTCTCTTGTCTTGGGTTTCAGCTTACCCAGATCGGTTGTACATTTTGCATAGCCTGAAAAGGAAAACAATTAAGGAAAAGTACTCTGTAGAGGAAGTGTTTCAAGATTTGACTGACCTTGTGAGTTTTATTTGTGCTCTCTAAATTAGTATTTGCAACAAGAGCTGTTTTATGTTGATGTGTTTCACACATGCTTGACTCTATACACATTTATAGTATAGTGTACCTTAGGTTGTTCAAAATATGTACCTAATATGTAAACACTTCTTGTGCAGTGTGAATTTCTATAGTTACACACATAAATGCTTAAGAAACATCTGTTGGTTCCTTCCATCCAATCATTTATAAAGTTTGTCTCAAGACGGAGCGAGGGAATTCCCCGAGCCGACTGTTAAAATCGTGACATAAAACACCTTGCCAACTTGCAATGTCGTCGCTGGCAATCCGCTGGCCACTTCTCTACGCATTACTTCCGAGAGCAACCCTTGTAAAAGAGAAGGCAGCGCCCAGGCCGGCAAGTCAGAGGGGTGCCCCATCACCCCTCCCTAGAGGGTTGTCGCACCTAACCTCATCAGCCGTGGACAACACAAAGCTTTAGCTTAAACTCCGATGAGACGCGCAGTCACCGGTTCGACCCTTCGAGTCTGAGGTCGCATCCCATCACAACCTTCGCCAAACCGAATGTACGAGCCCGGAACGTCTTTCGACATGGACGCCTCTCGCCCGCCGACCACGTCGTCGGCGAGCTCGTCTCCCCGCGGCATGTTCGCCGGCAGCCGACCCTCGACAGGCGACGGCAGCGGCGGCAGGGGTGAGTGACAGCTGTCGCGGGCTCGAGGGTACCGCCGCCCGGGGCGCCGCCCGGGGCTCGGCCCACCTTCATCACGTTCTGTACGAGCAGCGCCGCCCTGGCAGCTGGAGGAGGCCCTGGCGCTGCCCTCGCCGACCTCCACGCCGCCGCAGCGCGGCCTCCGCATGCGCGAGTACGAGGACAAGCTGAGCCGGCTGCAGAAGGAGAACTGGCAGCTCAAGGTGGACAACTACTGCATGGGGGAGAGGCTGCAGCGGGCCGGCGGCGGCGGGGGCCTGGAGCAGCTCGGCCTGGACCGCGAGGACCTGCTTGTAAGACGCAGTGCTGCTGGACGCGCCCCCGGACCGTCGTCGGGGACGTGCCGAGTCAGAGTTGTGCGCTCCGGTGTGCCGTAGGCGGAGATCGACAAGAAGCAGAGCCTGCTGGTGTCCGCCGCCGAGGCCCTGGAACTGATGGAGCGGCAGCACGAGGAGCGCACCCAGGAGCTGCGGGAGCGCATCCGCGACCTGGAGGAGGAGCGGGCGGCGCAGGTGCAGCGCGCGGCCATGGGCGAGCCGCACCACCGCCTGCAGCCGGGCCCCGGCCAGGGCGACGACCCGGGCGACGGCGAGCAGCAGGCCGAGGCTCTGCGGCGGCGGGTCGAGGAGCTGGAGGAGACCGTCCGGGGCCTGCGCCAGGAGCTCCTCGCCGCGGAGCTAGCGGCGGCCGAGCAGCGCCTGCGGGCGGACCGGGCGGAGGAGCGGCTCTCTTCAGGTGAGAGGGCGGCGGCCTTGGTCTCGCTGTGCCTCGCGGAGCCCGACGGGCGCCTTGTCGTGACTGCCGTCGTCGTGGACCAACAGAGTCTCGGTCGCGCCAGGCGGCGGCGGCCGAGGAGGGGCTGAGAAAGACGGCCGAGGACTCGCGCGTCGCTGAGGAGCTCCGGGAAGCGAAAAAGGCGCTCGAAAACCGCGAGCTCGTCAACAAGAAGGTATTCGCGGCGAGCTGTACGCTGTACCCCGCGCGGGTGGGGAGTCCCGCCGCGCCCGGTGCCGCGCGGGTCGGCCTACCTCCGGCTCCGCTCAGGGGTACTTCATTCGCAGAAAATCAGTGTACACCCACAAAAAAACACATAAAAAATAAATTTAATAGAAATCAAGAAAAAGTCAGAAATTTTTTGGGGGGAAAAGATGACGGTAATATCGGCGTGCGCTTGAGTTTCTTAGTGAAGTGCCCCTCACTCCCGTCCGTTAAGCTGCGCGCGGAGCACGCCCGCGCCCTGGCCGTCGTCGCCCGCCTGGTGCGCCGCGGCCGCGAGCAGAGCGACGAGCTGGACCGGCGCGAGCGGCTGCACGCCCAGCAGCGCACCGAGGAGCGCGCCGAGCTGCGCCGGCTGCAGGGGCTGCTCACGCAGGCCAACGTGCAGCACGAGGTGGGGCGCGGGGCGGCGGACGAGCGGGTGGAGCCAGCGGACCAGACGCACATCCTGCCGTGGGTGCTGCACGCCATCTCCAAGCCCTTCTCCCACGTCTCCAAGGTACGCGAGAGCGGAGGTCTCCATGCGTAACGCCTCGACACAAGGGGCCGGACCCAAATTATGCACTTCACATTTTCTCCGATGGAAAGTGTGCACACCTCACTCCCCTTCTTTCAAAAACATATCGTAATTTGTGTGCGCCCCCTGCGGTCTCCTCGTCCTGACGGTGTTGCACCGTGTGTACCCAGCTGTGGAGCTCTGTGCTCGGGACGGACCCCCCGCCCCTCCCCGGCCGCGGCGGGCCCCCCTGCTAGTCACCCTCCTGTGCCTTTGCAGCCCGCCGCGGCCCTGGGGCAGGGCGACCTCCACGGCGGCGACCTCCAGGGCGTGCTCCAGGACGGCGACCGGGGCGCTGTCCTGTCGCGGGTGTGGGGCGCCCTGTCGTGGACCCAGAGGCGGCTGATCCTCGACCTGGTGGAGGCGGGGCTGGAGGCTGGGCCGACGCCGAGGCCACGTTATTGTCTGCCGAGCCGCTCACGTCAAGCGGGGCAAGATGTGTGTATCGAGAAGAAGCTAGGGGCCGTCAAATCCCCTGGAAGCCATCTGAGTAATGCCACTCCGGACGACTACCGCGACTTCCCCGAGAGCCCCTCGGCAAGCTCTCCGAGCCTCGTCCAGCGCCGCGCTGAAGAACTCCCGGACCCGACCAGGGAACTGGAAGTCTTCTTCAATGGCCACAATGTACCTTGTTGTCCGGTGGACTTCGCGGGGACCGACGCCGAGGTCGGCCTCGTGGACTACGCGGCCTCCCCGCACGGCGACTGCCCTGTCACTGGCCACGGGGATCACGCCCGCCTCTCCCCAGTCTCGGACACTGTGATCAGACACCATGATCCTTGCCTCGCCCTCGGCGCACTCGCTCAGGTCGAAGGCTCGCGTGGTCACAGCCCGTGCGGCCAGCTGGAGCTCAGCCGCCAGGCCCACCCGAGGGAGCTGGCCTCCCCAGAGGTGTGCGGCTACGAGGTGGTCTTCCCCGACGGGCCGCTCGTCGGCGACCTCGGCCTCGCGGCGCAGGTCGCAGCGCCCGCCCCGCCCGGGCCGCACGCCGTCGTCCAGGTGCTGCAGGCCCAAGTGGCGCTCCTGCAGGCCGAGAACGCCCGCCTGTGGTCGGCCGTGTCCGAGGCCGTGGCGCCCGCCGGCCGGGCCCCCCGGGGCCGGCGCAGGCTGAGGCGGCCCCGGAGCCGCGCGCTGCTGGACCAGGCGCCCCCGCAGCGGCCGGCCGAGGCCGACAGCGCGACCTCCACGACGGCGTCCTCGTCCTCCAACGTGAGTGCGCGTACGCTCGCGGCCGCATACCCGCCACAGCCGGGCCGCCGCCGCCCAGCCTCACCCGCCCCTCGCCGTCAGACCGTGCTTGCGGACAGCCTGGGGTCCGTGGGCGCGCTGCTCAGGGCGCGGACGGCGTCGTCGGCCGAGTCGACGACGGGGAGCACCTCGGACCGGCTGTGGGACGCGTGGGCGCAGCTGGAGGAGGCACGCCAGCTCTGCGTGCAGATGGAGTGCCAGCTGGCGCACGGGGAGGCGCTGTCCAAGCACGGGCCGTGCGACGAGTGCTTGGCGCTGGCTGGCCCCGGCCCCGTCCAGTGCAGAGGTACAGGCGTTGTTGCACATTTTGAAAAATATATAAGGCAGGTTTTGTTACATTTTGCAATGTGCGAGGCGAGACTGTACCACACTTAAGTTGGCACTGAATTTGGCATAGGGTGTCACATGTGTGCAACCACGTGTTGCAGACACGCCCTTCTCAGCGGTGCGAGTCTGACGACGGCCCTGCTCAGGGCTGACGAGCACGAGCCGCCCCCCGGGGTCGAGCAGCACCGCCGGCTGGCGGAGGCCTGCGCGCGCCTCTCCGAGTCCAGGCAGAGGCGGCACTCTCTGGAGCAGAGTCTGTTCGTGCGAATCGGGCGCTTTTGGCGGGTCAGGGAGGGAGGCCGCACGAAATGAGTAACTTGTGAATGAATGATCCGAGCACTCGGCCTTTTTGTCTCCCTTCCCTTGGTTTGTTCGTCCCCGCATTTAGGATGACGTTTGGGTCGTAATTAGACAGCATTTGTGTTCGTCCACTTGACCACCACACCCCTAGCAATAAAACCATAATATGATTTTAGTGACCACGCAGTTTTCTGTAAACCTTACGCCGCGCAAAACAGCGCGCGGAACCCCTGGGAGGGTCGGCAGCTCCGCCGTAGCGCCGTGTCGCGCGGGCTGGCCTACCCTCGCATACGCGGGCGCTGACCCCGCAGCGGGGATGCCAGAATTAATAAAATATTTGTCTGCCCGTGGAGAGGTGGTTCTTTTTTTTTGGGGGGGGGGGGGCATATGCGCGGCGTTATCGCATTTTTGTCGCCCTTCGTGCGTATCAAAGGATGTGGTCACGTGGTACTACATGGAGTAGAGAGAAAGAGCAGACCTCATCAAAGAGCCACGCCGCACCTCGTCCTGCGGCAGCACGTCGCAGCCACGACACTTGAGTCTCGGAGGAAGTTATTTGCCTTGGCGGCACCAGGGCCACACCTCACCATGAGATCTTTGTTGTGAGTATATTGAACGGGGGAATCACCATACAGCGAAACGTGATATTTTGCCTTTGGATTTGGCGCTGAAGGAGCGGGTCCTCAATTTCTCATAGCACTACTTCGTGCTCTACATTTCATTCAATTTCCGGTGGTGGCAGAAAGCTTTTGCTTTGTGTAACAACAATCACTGAAACTGTCGTTGAACTGTCAGTTGACACACACATCAAAATGGAACGATAACTAATTCCAGCTCACGGTCAATTTTAATTTTCCATTTTATGATTAAGGTGAGTCCTATTTGGTGTAATTATTTATGCCCTCACTTTCTAATGGGTCCTTGCAAATTGGTTATATGTCATTTTTGTTTTACTGTGTGATTTGCTATTCTTATTTATATTTTTCTTTTGACGTTGGCTTTATTATCATGTGATGTATTTACATTTTCTGTTTCCTACTTAACTGCCTTCCTGTCTACGACTAGCTTGTTACAGGTTCTCTGTATCATGACATAACCTTTTGTCCAAGGCATTTCGCAATCAAATTTACTGTATAAGTTCTTTTTCTTTTGAAGTTCAATGGATCTCTTCCGGCCTCAACAACCTTCATCTAGTGGAAGTCATGGTCAGCATTAATATAGTAAAATTGAGGGTGTCTCCAAAGAGGACATTAGTTTACAAGATGACAGCTGACATTTGTTTCATGTTGTTGTTGTTGTTTTTTTAGGGGACACACCAAGCACATCTCAGGGCCATGAAGAACTGGTTAGCCCTTCAAACACAGTTTTATTCAGAGAAATTCACAAAAATGCATGGCTTAGAAAGCTACCGTCCATTGATAAACGCTCTGGTGCTGCTCCCAAGGTAAATGAATAATCCTTTTCAATTTGTATTCTTCTTATGTTTGAGAAAACCTAATTGTTTTATTTCTTAGAAAGGAGAACGAGTTTGGGCAGTGTTCTGCGTTCATGATGACATTCATCCATTCTTGGAGCTTTATATGGAGCAAAAGATGGCGGCTGCCCATAAACCCGACTGGTGTGTTTCACTCAGCACAACGCTTCATGTATCTCCCACCATAGTGGCCCTGGACCAAGAATATGAATTTGTAATAACTCTCACTTCAGATGTTGTTAGATTAACAGCTCCATCATGGTGTGTTTCATTTCCTTGTGTTAGTGAACATGGAAGAAGATATAAATAACTGCAACTTACAATCTTTTTTTATCTTTTTCAGGGAAGCTATGATGGAGTGGGTTGACACAATCCGGTCTAAACTACGAGAAATGAGAGTTTTATGTCCCAGAGAAAATGTGTATAGCAGAATGCCGGAACCCCGACTACCCCTCTTGCCTACCCGTGATCCTAACTCTCCATTACCTCCACCGCCAATGGGCCCTTCTGCCTTAGTTCCTGGTGTGGAACCTGTTCATCTTGATTCTGGTAAGTTCAGAAAAACAATCATCTCAAAGCAACTAATTTCTTTTCAAACTGATTTTTGATTAATTTTGTTTAGATATTCCAATTACTTCTGTCGTAAATACCTCTGGAGGCCAAAGTGCTACACAATCAAGTCAGATCTCTAACCGGAATTTAGCAGACCCAACTTCACAGACGTCAAACTCAGTGTCATCTGAAGTAGTCCTACCAAATGCAGCTGAATCTAGAACAAGACATAGGTAATGCTGTGAAGTCAGTTAATCAGTAGGACTTTAATTTGTATGCGTAGGAATTACAGTTGCGTTATACTAGCAGTATCAGTAATTAATATCAATCAAAAATTTCTGAAAATATTGTTTTATTTTATAGGATTAGAAGCTCATCTTTATCCGATAGTCGAGGTGGATCTACTGGCTCATCTCTTTGGAATCCAGGATCCAATGGGTCCCCTGCAAGGACTCCATCAAATTCTTCATCAGCTAGGAGTCCTGTACCCAATGGTGCCACTTCACATAGCTCAGGAGTCCATAGTCCAGGTCCCTGCGCTTCATCACCTCGAAGTCCAGGACCTAATGGGCTATCTTCTCAAAGTCCAGGGCCCAGTCATTCCTCTAGAAGTCCAGTTTCGGTGGTTTCTGTTTCTTCACCAAGAAACCGTCATCCTGTTTCTCCTGTTCCTCTTCGATCAGCTCCATCATTTCGTAGCCATCTAACAAATGGAAATTTAGATGAAGCTCTGTCCAGTCCAGGAGCAGCTCAAAATTCTTCATCAAGAAATATCAGGAGTCCTGTTGGACAGCCTTCATCATCTTCACACTCTAGAAGTCCAGCAGCCAGCACTCCAGGAAATCAAAATGTGACAGTTATAGAGGTGGCAGACTCTCAACGCACTCCAAGTGATATATTCAATTTTAATGTTCTATTTGATTCACTGCCCCAGTCTAATGGAGATGTAGAGCCACTAGAACAATTTTTTACTCCTCCCATCACCCCTAGAAGTCGAGCTTCAATTGCCCATCCTCCTCAGACTGATCAATTGGCAACAACAACATCACCCCCATCAAGATTGTGGCAGCAAATTACTCAAGTTGTTTCAAACCTGATTGGTCAACCAACTCAAAGTGAAGTTATCAGAGTTACTCAAGGAGTTACGAACATCACCATTCCATCCCAACAAGAATCTGCAACTGAATCTCATGGCTCAAATGTCAACAATGTCTATGAGCACGTATTCCCCATTGCTGGGAATGACTCGACCACTCCTGCAGATGATCTGAGAACAAGGGCGCCACAGACAGCTGTTTCTTCAAACAGACCAGTTCCTGGAGAGGCTCAGCACAGAAGGAGGCGAACTTCCTCTGGCTCTGAGCTTGTAAGCCCAAGATCGAGGAGTGCTGCAAATGTTTTACGTCATGCTGGTGCCCCTGATCTGGAGAGACGATTGCACCCAGTTCCTCATCCATTTCGACAGGTTCAATTATTTATTACTTCTCATAATCCTATTTTATTGAACTGAAATATATTGTATCTTAATTTTGTTCAATTTGCTTATGCTATTTGCTGTAACAAAACTCTAATTCTACTAGGCAACTGTTGGTGGAGATCAAGGAACTGGAGTTCCTCAGAGAGTGACGTTACGAGATCAACAAGTTCAGCAACTGAGGAAAGAAAAATTGCACCCAGGAGGAGTTCGCCTGCAAGTAAGAAGGAAAGATTGCACCAACTCTATTGCTTTTATTGATGCATTTGGGGCAGTCTGGTACGTATTACAAATTTATTTAAAAAATTGTATTCATCCCATTTACTGGGTGTTTTAGAGCAGACACCACAGTTTTGCGGGTTTGTCTACTCGTCTTCTTCCTCTCCCCTTAAGGTGCCATGACACCTGAGGCTGAAGAGAGTATGCAAACCCGCAAAACTGAAGTGTCTGCTCTAAAAGACCTGATTCATACCCTGCAATTCGAATGTATCCTATTAAGTATGTTCCATTTCCTTTTTATTGTAGGATTGCTGGATGGAAACAACGTGAACATCCCATGTTATACAATGCATTGCATATTGGAGATCAGTTACTAAGTGTGGCTGGACTTTCTGTTCAAACCTCAGCTGATGCCCATCGATTCATCAGAGCTAGCAACAGTCTCTATGTAAGTTTAAATCCTTGTCTTGTCACTTCTTGTCAGTTTTCTGACTTTGTGTCAAACATCTTTTTTTTTAAATCAAAAAATCCTTGTGCTTGAACTTAAATTTAATTTTAATAAAAATGATCATATTTTCAGGTTCCTTTTATAATTAGGAGAGTACCATTTGGTCATGTATTTGCTTTCCGAAGAGATGCAGAGGGACAGTCTTTAGGGATTACGTTAGAGGGAGGAACAGCAGAAATAAAGGATATTGCTGCAGATAGTCCTGCTGCAAGAGGTGGTTTACCAGGCCGAGCACCCACCTGTGATGGGTTATCTCTTACTCCTTGGGTCATTACTGAAATCAATGGAAGACCTTTAAACCTTTTCTTCAAAGATGGTGAAGTTCGTGATCGGCTTAATGCGGTTGGTAAAGAAATATCAGTCCTTGTACAGCCGTTTGATTTGATAAAACAAATTAAAAAGCAATTGAAAACCATCCGTAGTTATAAACAATTTATTGTCCAATGACATTTGAGTCTAAGTAATAGCTTGATGTCAAGTGATTTTTTAAAAGTGAAATCTATTCAGTTTTAAAAGTGATATTAGGTAATCGTCTTTATTACATATTAGTCATCATCAGTAATTTTCTGTTGGGCATAATCTAATCCCCACTATTGTCTTTTCTATCTTAACTTAATGGTCATCATATGCTCATTTTACATTTAGTCTAAGTCTAAATGCATGTTTTGGTAACAGAATTAAAGAAGAACCTGTGAAACGGAACCATTTCTATGTTGTATATTGCTGCAGTAACCTAATGAATGAAATGGTTTAAACATAGTGATTGCAATTTTTTTACCAAGGTTTTTTACCCTGTACAATTTAATCCAGGGTTCCATTGTATTCATCATTTTAAGTAAAAATAAGGGTTGTTATTGACCTTCAATGGTACTTTCTAAATCTGCTATAAACACCAATAGCTAATAGGTATTTTTTTTAAATGTGATTGAGTTACCTACAATATGGTTTGTTATGAATGCTATTTCTTCATTTATTTTTATGTTTAAATCCATTCTCTTCTAGTGTCTATTTAAGACCTATTTATTAATTCTGGGTTGTGTCAACAATGCTCTGGCTGTGGACACATCTAGGGAAAACTTCTGAAATAGAATACTGTGATCAATGTAATGCAAAAATTCAACATCCCGTCTGTGGTATCTTTCTAACAAAACGTATCATATCATTAGATTATACTTATTCCTAGTCTCAGCATAAAATGCATGTTTTTTATTGTGATTGTAAAGGTTCCAGTGAATAACCTTGTGTTCTGGACTCTCCTGTAAGGTACGTCTTATTAGAATGCTGTGTCTATTGTAGTCAATAATGCAGTGTATTTGATTTAAGCAAGCACAGCACTGGTTCCCTATGTTCGAGAGGGAAAAATACATCACAACATTGAATAGAGGCATAAAAAAAAAACATCGGCCAAATTATATGTTCTATTTTTAAATAATCTTTTTATACTGAATTTTATATTGACGTTTTATGTAAACCAAGACTGTATACTAATTTCTGAAGAAAGAAAACCTATTTGCTCAATTTTTTGGAAGCTGTTTCATCCCAAGCATAATATGACTTACATTTTTTAAATTCAGGATCAAATATTTTGTATATGACTGGTATTTCCCTTTTGAAATAGCTTTTCCTGAAGTATCATATGTATGTATCATTGTTTTCTAACCGATTCAACTATGCTGAACACAACTTATGGTAGTTTCCGTATAAAAATTTGGTTGTTCTTGAGTAAATGGTATATTTTAGCCAATGAGACTTCAGTAATTAATTGTCCTTATCAGAAACTTTGTTATTTTCATAGCCATAGCATATCATTTGCATACCTATCAACAAGATATATCTCTTATATGCATTAAACACAAGCAGCTAGTATCTAGCATCTTTAACATTGTAAGAAACTGGGATCTGTTTAGAGCATTATTGGAAAGGAGCGTTTCTTTCCATCAGACACTGAAGCCCTGTCATACAATGTTAAACTGACTAGCTTCTACTGTAATGTTGCAGCAAGGCCGGGTGTTTTAACCAGATGTCAATGCAGTTTAAAATATTTTAAGTCTGTGATCTTTTTCTTGTAGTAGGTTCAAAGGGCTTTTTAGCCTCTTAGACTCAACTACAAGAAAAGAAGGCTCAAGGAGAACTGTATATAGTTGGCAATTGTTTGCTACAGTTCTAGTAGTGGAGAGAAGTTTGTAACTGAATCTTGTTGTGAAGTTTCCTCATGTTCATGTTAGATTTAAGTTGTAAATAACTGTTATATTATCTGGTTAATTTGATACATTCATTCTCCATTGACAGCCTGTATGACGTACTGTAACTGCTTTGTTGCTGCCTTGGCAGTGTTTTTTCAAAGCTATAAAAGTATTTTTCATAACTAAACTCTTTGGATTTGCCCATTTGAGGCATGTGTAGTTTCCCTCTTCCCAACATAATGTGCGTCCAAAGATGAAGCGATGTAGACTACAAGTAGGGCAGAGGACACAGTGATTGACCCTGATGAAGTGATTCATTCACCTAGCTGCCACAGAGCTACTGATCAAAACTTTTAAACGACGAAGGGGCAATTACAGCCGCATTTGCATTTCAGGAACCAGTGATAGTCCCACTCCCCTTCAGCAAGCTGCAGTCAAACATTTGCATTATCTCCTCTGGTATGTGGTAGAATGAACCTTCACCAACCTATCCGCAAAGAGGATTTTGAACAAATGAGTCGGCATACGATCTAAAACCACCCGATTCTAACCCTCTGCTCTTGTCCGAGCGCTAAGAAACTCACCTTGTTCGTCACTGCTTGTGTAGTCCCTAGCGGCACCAGCTGTGGCTCCCATCACATGGAGACGGTAGAAGTGGTAGCGCGACTCAGAAGTGAAAAGAACGGCCGACAGATGGCACTATGCATGGTTTACCCGCTAGGAGCGTTCAAGTTCACGGGGGAAAATCATTGTACCCAGGACAACTGTATCCTCTACCCTAATAGGCACTGAATGAGAGCAAGATAAAATTTAAAATAGCTTTTAATATTAACTAGAAGAATGAGAGCCTTTCAAGTGCATAACTACAGATTCTAATTACAATTTACAAAACATGGCATACAATTTAATTATTACACACTATTGAAATCATGGAAAGAATACAAGAACCAATATGGAGCAACTGAGTATGTTCACTCGTGTACAGGAAAAGTAAGTAAGACATAAAAGTATAACTAACAAGCCAGTATTTACAAAATAATGCAACCTGGGATACAACAGGATTACTACAGAAGGTAACACAATCCAAAACAAAATAATTCCCAAAAGAAAAGTGTAGTACCTATGTCTTGAAATTGATATTAACAGAACATTGAGAGAATGAGGTTAAGACTCGATAATTAGAACAAAGCTGCTTACATTCCAGTGCTTAATAATATAAAATTAATTCCTGTACACTATTATCCTATATGGTACACCAAAACTAAATTCAGAGTTTTTCTAAGGAACTGACTGGGACAAAATGTCATAAAACCAATGCACATGATTGGAGAGCTAAATATTCATTGGGCAACATTGACATCAATTGAAATTCAAAACTACAAGTCAACCCTCCAAGCAAACTTTAAAATACTATGAACAATTATTTCCCTATGTTCATAAAATAAGTTAGATCAATGGCTATGTACAATTCCCAAAAGGCAACATCTTTCATAAGTGTTCATATGAAAATAGAATACATTATAACAAATCTTGGGTGATGCATGTCAAACATAGGAGAAAGAAACATGGCATTTCATCAACTTGATTTCATTAAAACATGATAATCTTACATTGCCCCCATTGACATAAAATGTTGACCAAGACAAATAAAAGCTAGTGGGGAACAGCCCACACCAAAAGATAAATACACACACACACATACACTACTCCAATTGAACACAAATTCATTCCAATCAATATGTAAAAATAAAAATCTTATCAAAATACTACTTTACAAATTTATAAAAAAAGACTTTATTAGGATATTATCCTAGCACTTTGTACCAACACACACGTGCCAAACTCACGCATACAGTCATTAATTAACAACATTTTATGTCAACAGAAGATAATAAATGGGGTCAACTTCTTAATGTGCACACTAAACTTTACAACTTATCTCTAAGGCCCTTGATTTTTTGTACAAAGTAAGCTTCGAGGGACTCTGCACACTTGTAAAATGGCGATTCTTTAGGATTGTAATATCTACAGTTGTCAAAAATCTTTGTCATATCACCAATAAATTCACTCAGTTTCTGGTATGAGCGCTCGTTTATTCTAAGTTCAATGGTTTGAAGATCTGAAAACAAGAAAAGAATTAGATAAAATAGAACCACAATCACCAATTGGGCAGGATTCAGACTTTAAGAGTGAAAAGATTAACTTACCCATAGGTTCTTTGATGACTTTGTAATAGTCAGGAGCCTCATTAGGGTCTACAGGTTCCATGAAAGGCCATGCACTCTTGTGACTCTGCAATGAAGGGAAAAAAAAAAAAAATAGTTAAATAAGTCCTCCAAAGGAGTTTAGTATTTGACAAAACCAACACTACTAACCTGAAGCTGTTTGTACAGTTTACGTAGAGCATCATAATCCTTATTTGACAAATTTTTCATGTTGGCATTGTTAATGGCAGAGCTTTTCTGACAGTTGGGGCAGGTGTACTCATCAATGTTATCTGCTTCCGACTGTAAAATTCCCACACATCTTCCGTGGAACCAGTCCTGACAGCGGTCACAGCAAATGTAGAACCTGAAAGAAAGGCAATATAAACTCATCAGTATTGAATGATAACAGCGCAAAGCACAAAGCCTCTTGAGGTGCTAGACTTACTGAGATTCATCATACGGCTGCTTGCAGAGGCAATAAAGCTCCTGCGTGTCTCGAGCGTGTCGACACTCGGTGCACACAAACTCGGACAGCGTCTTGCTCATCTCCTCGGTGATGCCCACGCAGTCGCCGTGGAACCAGTTGTTGCACAGGTCGCAGCCCACGTAGAACTTGGTCTCGTCGTACGGCGTCCTGCAGAGGCAGTAGAGCTTCTCCTTGCGGCGGGACCCGCCCCCGCGGCTGGGCGGGGACTGGTCGTCGCCCCGGTGGGGACCACCGGGCCCCGGCGGGCGGCCCTCGCCGCGCGACTGCTTCCTGCTGCGGCCGGGACCGCCGACCACCGTGGGGGAGCCCGTGGTGAGCACGGTCGCCGCGGTGGCCTGCGACTTGCGGCGCGCACTGCCGCCCGGCGCGTTGCTGGCGCCGCGGACCTCGTCCTGCTTGCTCCGCTCGGCTTTGGTGCGCGCTGCAAGCTCCATGGACAAATCTTGCTGTTGACAGAAAGACGAAAGTCGAATGAGTACGTCATCTTACAACATCTCAACATAAGCCGATATTCAATGACCGTGTACCTGAATCTCAATCTGCATTTCTTTCTCTAATAAGGCACGTTTCTTGAGAATGTCTTTTTTGAGTAATTCTTTATGGCGGAAAAGAATGACTTGAAGTTTGGTGTTGACAGCAACTCGGCGACGCTCGTCAGCGGCTTCTTTGCCCTTTTCTTTTTTCGATTTGGTACTAACTGGAGTGCGCTCGTGTTTTTCAATTTTTTCTTCTGGCTCAGGTCTGGAGAAAATGAAAAAAAAACATTACTTGAGATTATACAAAACCAAGGAGAAGTTTGTCTAAAAACATATTATCAGACAACTTACTTGGGCTCCACTGCAACTTTGGTTGCCTTACTACGTTTTGGAGGTGGAGGAGTTTCAAAGTGTTGCACATGCTGGGCTACCGGCTGAGGAGTAGGTTGAGGAGCTGGTCTCTTCTTAGCTGGAGGCCTGCTAGGAGGCGGTGGGGGTGTGGGTGCAACAGGGGCAGCAGTATCTTGTTTGCCAAGTTTCTCTTGGAAGCGCTGCAGCTGTAGTAGTTTTTCTTCAATTTCTGGGTTAAGGTTCTCTTGTTTAAGAGCACTACGGATTGTTTGCTGAATGTAGTCTGGTGTGACAACGAATTTGTCAGCAGCTGTAGCACCTACAGCCTGTTCTGGCGTGGGGGAAGCCAACCCACCTTCAGGATCTTTAAAAGAAAAAAACACAAAATATTAAAATATCATTAAGAAATACTTTTTCAAGTGTAAGCACGTGGGAATTGACTTACCTTGTTGCGTTTGAGGCTGGCCATTAACCAAAACTTGTCGGTTGTTCACTTGCAGCGAATGCACCGCCTGTTGTCCTGCAACCTGACCTTCGGCAGGCTTTATTAATTTTCGAGGTGACTGAGCTGCAGCTGCCAAAGCAGGTGTTGGAGTTTGAGTTGGTGTGGCAGGTGCTGCATTCTTCGGAGGTTGCACAGCCAAGTAGATTTTGGTAGGTCCAAGAACACTAGCTTTGTTGCCTTGGGCTTGCGCTGGAGAAAAAATAATGTCATTATAGGTTCTCCTCAATTTGCAAATAGAAAAGGAACAAAAAGCCACTGAAATATCAAATTTACCTTGAAGTAATTGTTGTTTAACTTGATGCTGAACTAATGCCAATTGCTGCTGTGTGAACTCTGTTCCCTGGACTCCCTGGAGCACAATGCGCGGGCCCTGGCCAGTGTTTATCACCTGAGCAGTGATACACTTGATAACAGTTCCAGGAGGCTGTCCAGCCATTAAGGACCGCTCAATCTCACGCTCCTTCTCCTCATCAGTCTAGCCAGATGAAACAGATGTCAAACAGTTAGTTCAATAATATAATAAATCCCCCGCCCCTGAGGGGAATACTAATAGCTACAAGAAAGCTCGATATATTGAATAATAAAAGCATCCCACCTTGACAGGAGATGGTGGTACAATGGGAGGTGGCTGCTGAGCAGGCTGTTGGGTTGGTTGCTCTGTAGCTGCCACTTCCTCCTGGCTACTTTCAGCAACACTTTCTGGCTCCCCTTGTGTGTCTGGCACAGAAGCTACTTGTTCCTCTACAGCCTCCGGCGCGGGTACTTCAGCTTTCACAGCTTGCACGGCTTGCACAGTTTGTTTGGGAACCAACTGGCTCTGTTGATTAAAACAAGCCGGAAATTAATTTTTACTTATAAATGACAGCATAATTTTTTTTTATTAATTGATTTTTTTAAAACAGAGAATTGTATATATTTGACTGGAATAACATGAAACTACTCTGAAATCTACCCCAACATGCACCCACCTGAGGAGAGGGCATCAGCAGCTGCCCTTGTTTCAGCACAACTTGCTGCACCTGGGCTCCAGCTGAGCCAGCGGCCCGAAGAACAACGTTCCCCATACCCACCATCTGCCACACATGCACAGGCAACACTACAGAACTGAACTTTTCTAGACATTCTTATTCAAATATATGAAGACAGGACTGATTTGACTAAACTCAAAAAATGAAAGGAAAAGCGAACATTAGAGATAATATGTGAGAACCCTATCAATTAGGTAAGACAAAATTTAGAAAGTTGGAAACTGAAACAATTATTTTAAAAGTTGAAAGTGGAAAATCAAAAGAAGAGAGCCAGCCAGCCCAACTACCACTACGTATGAAAACTGCTTTATCAAAAACAATTATCTCATGCAATTAATATGCGAGTAATTGACTCACCTGTGGTGCAAGTGGAGGAACTGGTGTATTCGTAGTCACTGGTGGATTTGGAGTCCTGATCAACACTTGCTGACCATTAACAGTTGCGAGCTGAAATTTACCTGAAGCCAGCTGCTGTGCAAGATTAGCATTCGACACCAACAACTGCTGACCGGCAGCAGTGTTTTGTATTACAATTTGTTGTTTTCCCAGCTGTCCTCCAGGTCTCAACAGAACTTGTTGAGCCTTCCCAGGTATTGTCTTGGGCGTGGAAGGCGTGGTAGGGGTTGTGGTGGTTGCAGTTGCAGTACTTCCTGGAGTGGCTGGAGTCTGGGGGGTGCCCTGAATGGCTCTCACAATTGTAGGCGTCTTCTGGACTAGGCCTGAGTTTGCAATAATTCTCTGACCAGTTGTGGTGATTTGTTGACCGGGTGGAGCAGCAGTGTTCAGCACATGCAACTTTCCATCCGGCATCTGAACAAGTTGTTGACCTGTGAACAAGGAAATGTATGAAGCCTATTTGATAAAACACTGCAACTTTGAAAAAGCTTCTTATAAGGAGGCAGATAAACCAACCTGGCATCAGACCCTTGACTTGAATCTTGCCGTCAGGTTGTTTCAGAATTTGGACTCGTTGAGGCGTCTGGGGTGAAGCTGCTGTTTGAGTAGTTGTTGGGGTAGCTGATCCTTGGATCTGGACTGTAGTTTGGGCCTGGCCTGGTTGAGGTTGAATCTTGATAAGAGACTGCTGACCACCAGCAAGCTGCACAGTATTTGCTTTTGGAAGAATACTTGTGGGACCAGATATAACTCTTGTAGCTCCATCAGTGTTCTTGGTCATGAATACTCTCCTTGTGCCAAGGATATTCTTATTCCCTGTGCCATTGTTCAGGAGAGATGTAAGTGCTGTTTTGACTTGCTGACCACCTCCAGGTGTCGCAGGTATAGCAACCTTGGCCACCATTTTCACAGTACCATCTGCACCTTTAATGGACAAAAATAAATAAAGAATAAAAATCAGTACACCATGGGTCAAAAAATTCATTGGTACATGGAAATTTATTTATTTTTATGTAACAGGAAAAGCCAATTACTATTTATAGAATTAATAATACCTTGGGCTTGAGATGCTGGGACTAATTTGACAACTTGCCCACCAGCCATTTTAACAACTTGTGTACCACTTTCCAGAGCACGCTTTTGCTGATGGGCAGCTCGCTGCATTCGCAGCTGTTGTTCCATCTTCTCTTTAATCTCAGCAGGATTTCCTTTGACAACATTAAGGGGCGAATCGGACCTCTGTGCATTAGCATCTTTAGACAAGGAGCCAGACTGAGCTGTTAGTGCTCCAGAACGGGCTCGGGTAAGAGTTTGAGTTGCTTGACGCTCGAGTAATTCTCCATACTGCCTGATGTTCCATAATTCTAGTTTCTCCTCATCAAGCCACTCTTCAGTGACTTGAGGTTCAGTGTTTTGAGGAGATTCAGCTAGCTTACGCTTGCGAAGTCCACTCCTGATAGATGTCACTTCTACAAGATAAAAAGACGAAATTAAGCAGGAGGGTAACAGAAACTAGACAGGCTTTGCAAGCTAGAGCACAGTGAAGTAACTTACCTCTGACAGTCTTTGGTAATTCCAAAGGTATGACAACTTTCCTCATCAAATACTGGGTACGGTCCATGAACTGACCCAGATGTCTATGTTTGAGGACTTCCATGGACACAATTTCAGTGTCAGTTGTCACTTGATGTTTCCCATCATTGGTAGGAGGCTTAGCCTGATAAAAGAAAAGTCCCTTTGTACACGAACCAAGTGGTGGCAGATCTCTAACCATGTGCTTTGATGATCTGATTTGACCACAATTATTGTGAAAATGTCACATGGAGCCTACTAAGCCTAAACAAACGTATATGCACTTACCACCATGTCATCCCACCGGAGACTTGCCCACAAAGTGCGGAGTTGAAGGGAAGCAGCAGCAAGTGAGCGAATATTCACAGTACGATAAAGCCAACAAGTTTTGAAGAGAGGACGCGAACAGGGATAAGGCCAGGCCTGCGGATTGGCCTTTGCCTGATGATGGAATCCACTAACTGACATCTTTCCTCCCAGTCTTGCTAACTTTTTCAGTTCTGGTTGCGATAGAATCAAGGCACTGCGCTTCTTTGAACGAGAAGCAAAATGAGAATAACTTGGATATTTTACAGGATTTCGTTTCTTTCTTCGGTCACCAGGGACAGTTGCTATCTTTTTAAGATACACTTTTCCAAATGTAGTAGTTGTAGAATACATTTTCCCTTCATCCTCCCTAGACACTACTGTCTGACGAACAGAGGTGTGAGCTCTTGTAGCAGTTCCTGAAACTACTCCTTGGTTAGCTCTAACAGCCATGGCACTGTGGTCAACCCTTCTTTTAGATGTCAGGATGGAATTAAGAAGGGAACCCCTGGAGAAATAAGAAGAGATTGATACATATTAATCACACTCTCAAAAATTAGTAGGATTATGACATACTCTCACACTTAAAAACACTCACGTGGCAGGTGTGGTTGAAGTAACTTGTGTGGTATTTGTTTCTGACACAGTCTGTGCACTGGTAACATTCACACTTTCAACAACTCCTCCAACCATTTTCACTTGCTGGTGACTTGTGGTAATAACTTGGCTTGTAGTTGTGGTAGTAACAGAAACTTCTGCCTTGGTTTCATCTTCATCCTTGACTTTCACATCATCCTCTGCTTTTACATTGGATTCTGCTTCATTACCATCAGGTGTAGTTGTGTCAGCAACTTGTAGTTTGGATCCCTTACCGTCAGACACACTGTCCTCTTTTTTAGGGATAACATCTTCTACTTCAACTTCCCCATCCTCAGTCTTCACTTCAGTAATTCCATCTTCTGGTTTTACATCAACAGATGACTCAGCCTTTACTTCTTCTTTAGATTTCTTCTGGACAGGGCCAGCCACAGAATGTAAATCAACATCACAAGTAGTTGCTGAAGCCACAGCTGATTCCAAGTCTTTAATGATTGCATCACTAATAACTTCAACACTTTGCTCTTCTGCAGAGGAAGATGATATAGAAGATTAGATTTAACACTGATTTAAATGAAGGCATTACAAAGACAATGTATAGAGAACATACCTTCTTTAACAGGCTCTATCTTTGCAACATTGACTTTGGCAGCGTTTGCTTTCCTTAAGAGTGCTAACAGCTCACAACGCAATCGAATTTTTTGAATACAAATGGGAGAGTAACAAGAAGTTGTACAAGCAGCCATTAGTTGATTATTGGTATTAAGTTGATCTGAAAGTTAAACACACACATAGATTCTTGTTGCAGACAAAACAGAAAGAGTAATTCCAGTACAAATTCAATGACTTTAACATACTTGGAGCTTGTGCATTGCATTCTTGAGAGTAGCAAGAAAGACCCTTTCCCAGACTATTGAGGTTACTATACTGTTGTTTCAAATGAGCAACTTTGCGCATTACAACACTTAGGTTGCTGTCACGCTCCTTATGCTTGGCAGAATTTCCTTGCAAAATTCCATCTAGAGAAGTATCAGTTTCCATGTCGCTGCCATCATTGTCTTCAGCATCTGGTTCAGGAGAATCACTCTTTCCTGGTTCTTTAGCCTGTAAACAAGTTTTGAAAATTAATAAAAATCCTGTAATAGAGGTAAAAGTAATGAATTTGAAAGGAAAGTGTTTTTTACCAGCTGTGCCAAACGCCGTTCCTCAAGAACTTTTAAAGCAGTTCTTCTTCCTAATAGTTCATCTAGACGGGACCTGCGGGCAACTTTTGGATAATGTAAGCGGGCCGTTGAAGTTAAGGCAGCACTTATGTTGATTTCCTCAAACTCAGATATGGGAGGAAGAACTTTAAGATTTCTTAGAGCATCTGTGTTGGTAGAAAAAAAAGGAAAGAAAAATATAAAATAAACTGTCCTAAATATTGTAATTCAGTAAGATGAAAATAGTATCCCAGATGAGTCATACTTGCTGCTGCAGGGGTCAAACCACAGGAATCATCCTCAGAGGTTGCATCACCTTCCACTTTTTCATCTCTCCATTTCTTTTCCAAAAATTTGTAGGTTTTAGGATCAACTTGAAGTATTTTCGTGTTGCTGTCATCTGATGAAAACAAAGAAGATTAAATTAAGATCATGCAAATGGCTTTATGATTTAAATTATTGATTATATTGATTTTAAAATTTCAAACCTTACCTTTCACTTGCACAATGATTTTCTGAGGGCCTGATCTAAGACCCATTTTATGGCAGTCCTGAATGACAAATTTGCGAGCAGATGAAAGCCATAACCATCCCCATTGGCCATGCACTCTGTATTCTTCACCCTTCTGCTTCCACACAACATGTTTTAGCCCAAGGGTGTACTTGACAAAGTTATAAGTCAAGCGATTCCGTTCTTCTTCATCCTGTTTTTGGTGACATAGGACAAAAATGAAGCCTTTGCAACAAAAGAATAATTAAACAGGGCAGATCTGATAACTGAAGTAAAATACAGACCTCTTTATCCTTCTTTTCTTTCTTTTCAATTCTCTTACGCTCCTCTCTCTCATTGGCAGTGAATCGTTGTAATTTGATATGGCCTAATTGTTCATGCCAGACAGATGCAAACACAACTGGCTTGATACAAACTGATAAAACTGTCAGGACACGAGCAAAATCTTTGGGATTTACACATTTGCCAACTGTTTCTACCCATGGCTTCCTCATCAAAGACCAGTTAGGGTGCATGAAAGGTGCTTGGATACTTGACTCGAGTTGTAGAAGAGTAAGACGAAGAGTGTTGACAAGGATTGATCTAGCCCCTGCAAAACAAAGCCAAAAGGCATTATTGATAAGACCCTCATAAACATGTGCCGGTAGATAAATTTGATAGTTCAGAATTTAAAAATGCATACCATGAGTTGCACCCATCCACTTGAATTCTGCAGCTGGTGTTAGCGAAAACTTGTGAGAGAGATGTCTTTTTTTGTCCCTTTCTTCATTGCGCTGAGGCTTATTAAGCGCAGCAGAATTCGTTGCATAATGATTGGTATAGCTTTTAAAAGCATTCTCCATTCCCAATTTGAAAAGGAATGTACCTGAGACAAAATTTGGATATGAATCATAAGTAAACAAAAACAGAAAGAAGCAGTATAAAAATATATATTAAAAAACTAATTATGTTATGTACCAGTAGCTATTTGCTGGGCTTTCAGCCTTGTTAAGCGAGTTTCTTTATCTAGCATTCCTTCTTTCTCATCTTCTTTAGATGTAATTGCAGTACTCCGTCTCTTCAGATCATCCATATTAAATGTTCGAGGTTGAAGGGAACCAGTTTTTGATCTTGTAACTCTTTCAGAAACTCTGCGACCTATACAAATATGGAATTGCCAGTGAATCTAGTTAATGAAAAGCAGAGATACAGTATGCTTTGTTTACTCACGGGTAGTTGTTTCCTCCTCCTCTTCTTTTTCTTCACTTTTTACACTATCAGGACCACTATCATCTCCCTTAGACATGGTTACTGAAAAAATAAACAGGGCATAAGAAACAAATAATAGTTATTGATTAACCTTAATGAGAACAAGAAAAAAAATTAAATTACCAGTGGTAGTGGTTGTTTTGGTGGTTGTAACTGTGGTGGTAATCTGTTCCGAGTCTTCACTTTCTTTAGTTGTTGTGGTTCTTTTACTGTTGATTGTCTCGGATGTTTCCTGTAAGAAATTAACAATGATTAATACTTTGAATACAACCCAATTGGTAAAAGGCTAGAAAATTATAACTTACAATTGATACAGGGGATGTGCAAGATACTTCTTCCTCGATGGTTGTTTCATCATCACAGGGTAATTCATGATCAAGCATAACATTAGTTCCATCACGCCTCCGATCTTCTTCCTCTTGTTCTTGTCTCTTTTTCTCTTCTTCTTCTTTAATCTTTCTTTCAGCACGTTCCTTTTGTGCTTTGACAATTTGTGCTATTAAAAACATTAAGACATTAAAAAATGACATAACAAGAGCAAAGAATAAATTTTGAACAAACTCTAAAGGAAAGTGATGTAAGCTTTACCATTGTCATAGTCAAAGTAGGATTTTTTGTTTCCTTTGCTTTGACTGGTCAGTTTTTCAGTTATTTCCATCTGCCGCACCATTTCCTCCCTAAAATCACTCAGCTCTCTACATAGGGCAGCCTCCATATCAGCAGAATCTAATGTATCAATGAGTTCATCAAGTTGAGTTGGTGTACTGTAGTACCATACTTCACCATCTTCACTTTCTCTGTGGAGGCAACATAAAATTAGATAAAGGAATATGTCAACTGGGAAAGTTTCTGATTTTGTAAGTAGCATTAATATAACTTTAGGGTACATACACAAATAATCTTCTGCAAAGAAACCAGTATTTTCTGCCATGGCGATCAAATCCGAGATGCTCTTGCCTGCATAAATTTCCATTTTTCTCCACATCAGGAATGCAATCCATGACACCTGGCACCTACAGAATTGAATTGTAATAGATTAGGAAAACATTTTAACATGAAAGCTTAACAGATAAGAAAAATCAATCTTTTCCTTACCCTATGAGCTTTACAGAGGTTGCACTGCCAGTCTTCAGTGGGGACATCACCCAACGGAGGATCAACACACTCCAGATGGAAAACAGCAGGACATGTCTCACAGCACAATAGATCCCCCAGACGATGGCAAATGCGACAATGATCATCATAATGGAACTTGACTAAAAGTAGAGGAAAAAAGATGCTAATATTAGAAATTTGAATAATTAAAAAAACAGTAATTTTTAACTGCACTAGCCTAGCCAATTGTGTTCTGAAAAATTTATATTATTGAGGTGCCACGTTCAAGCCGCACCCAAAATTTTACAGGGCGAGTCACACTATCCCATCAGGCTAGTGCTAAACAGGAGCTTGACTCTAAGCCACACCCCAAGTTTTGGATTACAAAAAAAAAATATTTAAAAAATGCAGCAAAGTCAAATAAATACAATAAAACTTAAGAGAGAAGGGCCATTAAAGCCACCATTTGAGATACTTGGTAAATTTTACATTGACCACCACAAGTTTGTGATGCTTTAAAATATAGCAATTTAAAAGTAATGATAGAGTTGCCATTCTCTGATATAATGCAGCAAAAGATACTTTGAACTTATAGTACAATTACTGTTCAAATTATTGAAATTAAGTAGAATTGCAAATTTTAGTTGTGAAGCACTATTTTAACATATGGACAACTCACCTTCACTGAGTAGATCCTCTCTGACAGGATTTGTTATCAAAAATTGATCCGTGAGAAACTGAAGGACTTTTAACCTTGTCTCTGGCGTTGTAAATGGATATTCACAGTTATTTAACAGCTCTAACACACTCTGATCAAAATTGGGGTCACTTTCAACATAGGATCTCAGAACTTCAGGCCAAGTCATGGCATCGACAAAGAAAAGAGTAACATTAACAGTATCTTTCTGATCCAAGGCCCCAAAGTGAGTCTGCTGAGCATCTTCCTCCCGAAGAATTGCTTTCAGTAAAGTTATATGAATCTCGGCAAGAAGAATACTCTGCTCTTCACATGTTACTGCAGCACAAAAGTCTTCAACTCTGAAAGGTGACAGGCGAACCAGCGCTCTGAAATGTCGGAGAACTTCATAAATGCTTAAAGCATGCATGACAAGTTCCCGATGAACCAACAAATCTTCTGAAGGCTTTGGCAGTTCCAAAGGAGGTAATTCTCTATTTTGCAGCCACAATGGCTCTGGACTGGGTGCTCTCTGATAGTAAGATCTGCGTCCACCTCCATCCGCAGTACTAAAGCTAGAAAGCGAAAAGTCACTATCACTTGAGGGGTCGTCTCCCTCAAAGCTCTCTTCACTTTCAGTCTTGAGATCATCATCATCATCACTTTTGCCACTAGAGTCATCACCGAAATCAGAACCATAGTGGTATTCTGAATCTTTCTCATGGATAGCGTCAGGGTTATAACCTCTTCTGTGAGAACCATAACCTCCCCCACGACCCTTCCTTGAACTGTCTCGACCGCCTCGGCCGCGTCGCTTGCGTCTATCCCGGGTGACAGGAGAAGATGCTCTGGATTGTGTAGGAGTACTTGGTTGAGAACTCGGTGTTTCTGGACCAGAGGCTTGCTGGTTGAGAAGGTACTTGGGCTTTTTCATTAGATGGTACTGAAACTTCTTTGGCCTTTCCATTACGACGGATTTTGGGGGCCGCCCCCTCCGTTTCGTGCCTCTTCCCGTCATCTTGCTGGTTCGATGTCACACACTAATCACAGTTTTGCACGTGGTTCACACAAACACTTCATTGTATACAAATAGTAATGACACAACTACACGAAACCGTAATCCATGTTTACAGTCTGGTCTTTGCGCCATTTTTTACGGGAGTCACGTGACCAGGTAGCCAGAAAGGCGCAAATAGTTTAAGGAGTTCAATTCCAGCACTCGTAGAGTTTCAATTACACACCCACTTTTGTTTTGAAGGTATCACAACACAAGCACTGAACAAATCGATGAGCGCGGCAATTTCTATGCACCGACGCGAAATAGCAGGCGAAAAGATAGCGTCCTAACCGCAATGGAACGGTAGCTCTGATTGGCCGAGCCGAGTCGCCGCCATGACACCACTGAAATGATTATCCACTTCGAATAGGTCGGGGCACAAGTGATTGGGCCACACTTATTTCCAACAACACTTTTTTCGGGCCAAACGCTTGGCTCAGTCACACAAATTTAAAATGGCACTGGCCCCGCTATTGTAAATATACAAACGGCTATCACACAAAAAAACTCTTGCCGCCCAATCCGCGTTAGGTTACTAGCGGCGACGACCTCATGTAGATGTCGCGCTCAGTCAACGGCGTCACATTGACGCGCTAGAATCTTCGACGTCCTGCTTAGCTCAACGAACTTACGGCGCGCGGGCGCGGAGACGGTGCGTGGGGCCGTGGGGCACCTTGCAAAGGGCGGGATTCTATGCCTGCACCGACTTGGTGTCTCTTGATCGTCTTCCGATTCCAAATTTATAGTTAGCCATGTTAAATTTTCAACGAATTTTGCTTCTTCTTTGAAAAGAGGTCGTCCACAGTCAAACGAAAGACTTTGCCGCGTACTTTGCACCCATCTTCTTAAGAAGATTAGAAATCCCTCCCGCCCCATAAACAGAGTGCTAGCTTCAGCATCCTTTTCTAAGCTCAACGACGCAATGAAACCGAAGAACTTGCAAAAGAAAGGTCAAACATCCCAAACTCCCGACATTATATTTGATATGAATGTTTTATCACAGGGGGTTTCCCTCCAAACCAATTTGAATGGCGTGACGCTTGGGCACGTGTAACGTTTGGAGGGTAGGGTGATGTATACAGCGCATTAGGTATTTATTCAAAACTATACTCAATTGCAGCAAAATCAGACAATTTGACGATTATTTTTTTTGGGGGGGAGGGGGGGGGGGCAGCGAGTAGATGCAGCGGATGCATGGATGACAATTTTGAATGAAGTTTCAGGTAGGAATACCCCACGCAGTCGGGTACCGCCGGAAAGCGAGCTACGGCAGAGGGGGGAGTCTAAAGAGGGTAACGTCGTGGGGTATTGCCTAGCGATCATAGCGCAAACAAAGACACAAAATACAAAAGTCAAAGCTGCCTCGGAGCTTCCTCATGGAAAACGTTTTCTAAAGAGAGAAGAATGATTAATTCAGTACTTAGAATTTTTTGTTGTAAATTAAACTGGTGTAATTAATTAATTTTAAAAGTTAGGTCCACGATGAAAAATTTTTGCTCCAAGTTGACCATTTGACAACACTGTGGCGCTGGTGGTATTGCGGGTTTGTTTAGAACACTCGAAATCCTGTGTAACTCCGTGGTTGAGGCTTGCCGGTTTTCTGCGTTTTCTTAAAAATTTGCACCCTTGTTAAGCTGCGGCTTGGCCTCTATACTTTCGCCGGTTCCTGACTTTACTGTTCACATCATGACTGAAGGAGAAACGGTAATTATCAAATACTCTTAAGAGGGAGATGTCGTTTTCGTGCGATGTGCGTCGTAAATCCCACTTTTATTTTTCAACTTTGTTTCTCTTTTGGTGTCAAAGTCCTCCTATTATTTTGCATGTAGTATCCATTGTATGCCTTTGATCCATCGCAAGTATCGAACCATAGTTTTCGTTTTCTCTCTTTACCAAATCATAAGGTTATAGTCCACCTTGCTTTGTGATTGCGATTTTCCCCCCTATTGTATTTTAGCCTGTTTTATCTATGTCAATACTCAGCAGATGGTACCAAACATGGCAAGATACTCTGTCATATTTTTTTACATTTAGTCATTTGGCTAAATAGGATTTGTGTGAATTCTTTTCTCTCCTGGGGTCAATTGTTTGATTTGATTTTATAATTTCTAGGCGACTGCTGCAAATGGCACAGGAAATGGAAGTGGGGAAGGAGGCACAACCAACTTGAATAATTCCGCAGCCTCTGAACATGATCCTCATTTTGAACCAATCGTGACATTGCCAGAAGTAGTTGTACCAACACTGGAGGAAGATGAGGAGGAAATGATTAAACTGTAGGTGTTTTTCTGATATGCATAGTAGAACACCTTACATTTGAACATGGTTTTCACATTCCTAACTTTTGCAGACGAGCGAAACTCTTCCGGTTTGACTCTTCGGAATCTCCATCAGAATGGAAAGACCGAGGTATTGGAGATGTGAAGCTCCTCAAACACCGTACAAAAAACACAGTTCGAGTTGTCATGAGGCGGGATAAGACCCTGAAGATTTGTGCCAATCATTATGGTGTGTTTTTTGGTGTTACAATTCCTAAAAGTTTTTTTCTTCATAGCTGTATTAATCTTGTCCATTTGAATTTTCAGTAACTCCATGGATGGAACTCACCCCTAATTGTGGAAGTGACAGGGCCTGGGTATGGAGTTGTAAGGCAGACTATGCTGATGAGACTCCTCGACCTGAGCTTTTGGCTATCCGATTCGCTAATGCAGAGTGTAAGTTTTAATTAAATTAATGTTTCAATAGTTTACCCTGAGGATTTAATAATTATGTCTCTTCTCTATTTTATCTAACAGTTGCACAGAGGTGGAAAGAAAAATTTGAAGAAGCCAAGGCTTTTGTTAAAGAACATGGTAAGATAATTTATTTACGGATCTGAAGCGAAGAAATCATCCCCTCCCCCTTGTACTAATTGTATTTTTTTTATCTTGTCAGTTTATAGAGGTCAATCTGATGAGGAGGAGGAAGAAGAGGACGATGACGATGCTGATAAAAGTGATGATGATGAAGATGCCAAATCCTCTTCTGCAGACAAGCAGGAGGTTGAGGCTGAGAAAAAAGACACATCAGAGGTGACAGAGCAATTGGAAAAGCTGAATGTTTCTGAAAAAGAAAGTGGTGAGCCATCAGCCCCCCATGAGACTAAGGAATAGGATTTGCTGGATTTTGTTGATTGTTGTGGGTTAAACTAGATTCATTTAATTCACATTTAAAAGGGGTGTCTCTTTTCAATGAAATGAAAACATGAGTTTTCAACAATACTTTCACTTTGGTTGACTTTGTCCTGTTTATGTGCCAGATTTATATTGATAATTTCTTTTTTCCACAAGCTGAGCACTGTGATGATGTTATATCTGGTGATAGAAATGGCGCATCTAGTACTGATTAGACTAGCTTAAGTGTACCATTCCTGTGAGCATTTAGACATTCTATGGTGTTAAGTCAAAATTATATAAGTTGTCTATTTTTGTAATTATAAAATTTTAAGTACACAATGCAGTTTGCTGTTGAAACAACCTCCCAGTTCTAGTAAGGAGCATGAAAGGAGACCAGTTTGGTAAAAACAATTTAATATTTTCACGTAATACATCTCAACTGTGATAGGTGACAGTAAATTTCACCAATCACTGATGTCACACAGTCAGCTTTCTGAACATTGATTAAGTCTGGATAGTTCAGATATTTTTATTATACAAAGTGAACTGAGCCAAAAACTCAGACAAATAAATAATCTTAACAATAACAGGGTCAATACTGTAGGAAATCTAGCAGAACTAGGTTAAGTATAAAATACAATAAAAAATGAATTTAATTCATAACAAATTTGATAAAGGCAGAATGGCTTTGAAAATACTCTTCTTAATGGGTTTGCCTAAGAGATACTTTCCATTTTAAAGTGAGGCAAAACTACATGCTGCTTAAAACACAGGTACATAAAATTTAGAGATATTAAGTACTTTTAAGTGGGGAAACCCATTGCTAGATCACTAATTGGACCACTTCTGGTAGAGATAAGTCTTCAGTTCAAACTAAAACAATATAATAAATAGGTCTTCAAAATGCTAAAAAGATGAATACAGTGACAATTACAACAAACACAATAATCTTTGGTCTATCAGTATGCTATTACTCCAAATCATCTTCATTTTCTTCATCAGTGTTTTCTCCAGGTTTCTTTATTAATTTCCATTGTTCCGCAGACTTCAGTGCCTCAAGGGCATACTTCTTAACTTTTTCATCACCATCTTCCAGAAGGGACAGGGCCATTAGAATTTCCATGATATCTGTTGAAATCAGTTTTTCTGCTACCTCTTTGCAGGATTGCATCAAATTGTTGACAATGTAGACACCCCTGTACTGAAGACCAGTATCTGGGTTCCCAAGAAGAGATTGTATACTTTCAATCCAACTCTCCACTTCAAATACTTTCTTGCAGCATTTCTTGCTTACAGCTGTAAGTTGGGCAAGGGCACCAGCAGCTGCCATTGCCGTTTCAGTATCTTCATCAGCACTGAGAAGTACAAGATATTTGGTTTTATCGTTCTTCCCTTCATACATTTTGACAACTTCAGGTGACAAAATTAAATTTGTGATGACTTGAGTAGCTGCACGTCTCAGCATTTCATGCTCTTCAAACATGTACCCCTCAATTTTGGGTACACCATGTTCTTTAATTATTCGCAATCTGGTTGTTTCATTCAAACCTGCCAAGTTACAGAGGGCAAGCAATGCTTCAAAATTTTCTAAGGCTGTACATTCAGGATGAAGCAAGGAAATCAGAGGCCGGATGACTTCTACATTTCGTTGTCCTGGAAATGCTACCTCTGGATTCATTGTAATACCGATGCGAGCCAAAGCCTGAGCAGCTTGCCTTATACCCTTCTCTGTACCTTCGAGTGCCATAGGTAACAGAGCTTTGGCCCCACCTTGTTGAACTACAAGGCCTCGAAGTTCTTGTTGACTGCAGATAGCATTAAATATACGAGCAATGAGTTCTTTGCTGTTATGACTCTCTGTTTTAGAAAGGGCAACCAGAGCAGTAGTGATGCCCTCTTTAGCCAAAATGATGAGCCTTTTAGAAATGAAGTCTGGATCATCCAACTCGTGATCTTCAGGTATATGATGCTTAGCAAACTTGGCAAGTTCAACCATTTCAGGAATAGCCTCTTGCTTTTCATAGGCATTGCAAAGGTTTACAAATGTTGTAACAACACCATACACAGCAGCTTGGTTCCCAGTTTTAGCAAGCTCAATGAGAGCCTGAATTGCTGCTTTATCCGCAATAAGCTTTTCCTTGACATCGGCATCAAGAGTTAAATATGATAAGCCTTCAGCAGCCCATCTTCTCATATCAGCGTCCTTAGACGGACTAATTAAAAATCTGCGGCAGGCCTCTGCCAGCTTTGTTGTGGCTCCATCTGCAAATGGGCGAATAGATGCATCTGTTCCTCCACTGCTACCAAGTTTGCACAAGCCTACCAATGCTCGTACACGGATCCCATCATCCTTAGACTGATACAATTTCTTAAGAATATTAACTCCCTGACCAATGATTGACTTCACCTTATCTTTTTTGGAACTGGCTGCAATTATGCATTCACAAGCCACTTTCTGTTGTAGAATGTCATCTGTACCAGCCATTACAAGAATCATTTCCATCATTCCATCCCGTGCTACAATATTGTTGCCTACATCAAGGGGACCAAGAAGAAGAGAAGTCAATGCTACGACAACTCGTACTTTCGATTCTAGCTCTGGGGTGATCAATTTTCCTTTCACATAATCATCTATGTTGCTGATAAAATCTTGGCGTGCCCTGTCATAATACATATTTTCATAAATCCTGGCAAGACAAACAGAGACCAACGAACGAGTCGAGTCAGTTATTTCCATAGCTGATTCATATTTGTATTCCTTGAGCTCACTCGCAACTTCCATCAAACGCTGTAGACCACGAATCTCGACGAGGCGTTGAGCCCAGTTTAAAGTTGAATAGTGAACATTTCTCATGAGTAACTCGATGATAGCATCTCTTCCAAGTCCTGACAATGTGCGACTGGTCACACTAAATACTAGACAAGTGAGAAGGGTATCGATCTCATTCTTATTTTGTTCACACAACTCAGGATCTGGTTTACTGTCTTGTTTGTTAGTCATTCCACTTAAAGTGTTTAATATTGTTTGCAAACAATATTGTGCTGCATTTACTTGCTGCTCTTTTTGACAGTTCAGAATATCCAAAAACCATGGCACACCTAACTCCTGAAGGATGGATTTTGTTCTATCCAGGCTTTCTTTACAGAGCTCACCAATAATTCTAACACCACCAAGGAAAATTTCCTCATTTTTTTCGAGTTTTAAAAGAGATGCTATCTTGCTGATGACACCTGCCTTGAACATGACTTCACTGCCAGCATTTTCACGGGCAAGTACAACCATGTTATTCAAAGCTTGTTCACGCTTTTCTCTATCTGCTGTCATGTCAAAGGCTATCTCAAACATTTTAGCCACCTTGTTCGAAGTCTGCGACATTAGCTTCAGACGTTCTTGAACAACATTATGAAGTCGTGCCAATACTGGTTGAATCGCCTTGTTTCCAGGATCAACAGTATGAACTTGGCGAGCATCACGATAAGCTTCTTCAAGTCGGTCCAACGCTTCCAATGCTTGGCAACGTCGAAATAGAGACTTGGGATCATTGGGTACTAAATCTAGGGCAGCAGTACAATCTGATAAGGCATTTTCATTTTCACCCAACTTGAGGTATGCGGCAGCCCGGTTTTTCAAATACACACTCTTTTCCTGGCCCTCCTCTTTTGTGAGTTGGATTGCTTTGGTGTAGCACTGTATTGCTCCCACCCAATCACTTTCCTTGAATGCTGCATTCCCTTCTTCTTTCCACAGCTGAGATGTCTTCTCACCGTTCACACCTTCTTTCGCCATTCTTGAACAGTAACTAGTCCCGTAGCAGTTGGCGCAGCCTTAAAAACCACCCCGGCGCTGTTTACTTCAGAATAGAAAGGGTAGAAAACTACCGGACGTTCGAGAACACCAACACTCTATTTTTGGGCATGCTGAATGTAGGTTAGAAAATTAAATCTCCTCTCTCTCTCTCATCCCCTTAGGTCCCCTTCGCCCCCTTCTCACCCCCTTTCATCCACCACAGCCCCCTCACCCTTCAACAACTGTGCCTTTCGTCTGCTTTCTGCTTTGAAGATGAGATATGTTACCGTTACTAATCAATGCATTGGTTTTGCACGTGAATTTTATGGCTTGTTAATTTATGTCTCAAAAAACTTTCTCTTCCAAATTGCGTTGTGTCGAAAACCTCTGTAGCCGAGGAAATAAAATAATGAGTCAAAGAGGGGGCGGGGGGGGGGGGAGATGTTACCAACAGTGATGTCAGAATGTACCAACTTTGCGGGCGCAAGTGAGTCTTTTGGGTCAAACATTTCTCCACATTTGACGTGCTGATGTAGCATTTTCCTTACACGGAGAAAACAGTTAGTGAGGATTTACAAACCCATTCACATTCTCACTTCACGAGATTGGATGGAGGCACGATCTTGTTAAGCGGATCGATATAGAAGGGAAGTTCAATCTTCTAGATGCAACAGGCTCGAGTGCAGCATTGATTTGTCTTTGGCTGTAAGATTTTTATTATTGTTTTCCATATTTGAAGCTCGTACATTCATGTTTTACTCAAGGGCACGGTACTATGTGGGCGTTCAATGGGCGTTTCTTCTCACCATTTAAGGTATGAATGCAAAACTGCTACTCTACAACTGCTCTTTGGCCGTTAACTACAATTTCAACCTTCAACAGCACTTGAAGTTGAAAATGAGGATTGACAAATTCTATGTCTTCTTTAGGCTTTGTGGAAACCAGTTTGAGTCTCATGTGGAAAACTATTTACAAGTTGCAACCATTATTCTCTTCAAATCTGAAGACATATGTGAAATCACTGATGTGAAGGGAATTATTGTGTCTTGCTGAACATCCCATGCATTGGTACAGGTGAGTTCTAAGAGATAGTTTTGTTAGCTCTGTCGGAGTTTTAGAGGATAAGGTTACGTGTTATTGTTCCCATTAAACAAGTTCAATATTCTGCTTCTTCTTTCAGATTTTGAAGTATGCCTAAAATGGACTGCTAAAGAACGGTTGTCAGTAGAAGTTAACTTGGAACTGTGTAGTGAATGAAAGTTTCAAGTATGCCTTCAAGTGACAACATGGGAGCTGTAGAACCACATCCATTAGAATCAAGTGTCACAGACAGTGTTGGAAGCAATAGTGATGCATCTAGTCACACAGCATGTCAGTCAACAACAGCACCGAGCCAACACAGTCAACAACGCAGCTGCATGGATGTCGTATGTGTCATTGACTTACTTCAAGCAGAGAACTCATCTCAGCGCAAACGAGCTTGGGAAGAAGTGAAAGAAGCTTGCACACTGGTCAATGCAAATGCCCATCATATTCAGTTTGAAAAATTAGATTTTGGTGAAACAAATGTACTGGATACATTTTACAATGCTGATGTGGCTATAGTAGATCTATCTGTGCAGACTCAGCAAAGTGCATTGTTTTATCATCTAGGGATACGTGAAAGTTTCAGTATGAAAGAGAATATTTTATTAACGAATGACACAGACTCTGAAGGTACTCTTCGCTTGAAGATTTCTTGTGCCTCTTACACTTTTGTTGCTTATAAACTAAATGATGTTGGAGTTTGCAATGTGACTCTTAGTTCGTGTGTGTCAAAAGTGTCAGGTGAAGAAGCCGTTCCTGATGGTAAGCTTCATCTTGCCTACAAACTGAAGAAACTTCTTCAAGATGTGGAAGTACAATCCAAAGCTCACATGAAAGAAAAGTTTCTAGCTGACCTGCGTAAAGCCAGAGACAACTATTCTGGAGATGAGTTGGCCAAAGTTCTTCATAATTTACAAAAGAGACTTGATGATCCGAGCATGGTGTCTGGTGATGTTGTACTAAGTTTATTGTTATCATTCAGGGATGTACAAGATTACGATGCCATGGTAACTTTGGTTAACAACCTAAAGAGCTTACACACTCAAAAGAATTACACTCAAACTCCTCACATAGCTTATTTGTATGCCTTTGCTCTAGCTCGACGAAATCGAGAGGGTGACAGAGAGCATGCACGTAGTGTTGTGGAACGCAGTTTGGAAAAGAAAGAAGGCCAGTTTCCAGATATGATATGTTTGTGTGGAAGAATTTACAAGGACAAGTTCGTGGAATCTGGCCACCAGGACCAGGAGAGCCTCAACAAAGCCATTCATTGGTACAGAAAAGGCTTTGAAATCCAACCCAACGAATATGCAGGGATCAATTTAGCTACTCTTTTGGTTATAGCTGGGAATGAGTTTTTCAAGTCTGAAGAGTTGCAGAATATTGGAAGGGTGCTCAACAACTTAATTGGAAAAAAAGGAAGCCTCAGTTCTCTCAAAGATTATTGGGATGTAGCTACATTTTTTGAGATAAGTGTTCTTGCTGAGGATTATGCTAAGGCTACTCAAGCTTCCATGTGCATGTTTAAACTCAAGCCCCCAAATTGGTATTTAAAGAGCACCATAGGAAACATAGCTCTTATCGACAGATTTCGTAAAAAAAATGATGAGTCAACTCCAACTCCAGAAGAGCAAATATTTGGGTTTTGGATGGAGTTTTTTGTCGAAGCTACAAAAACTGAAGGTGGGGAGAGTGATATAAGATTTCCAATGCTAGTTCTGGAACCTAACAAAGTTTTCATGCCAAGCTATGTAACAGTCAATCTGGGAGCTGAAGAGAAGTCACTGCAAATCTCAAATATATGTTTAAATTGCCTGAAGGGACAAGATATTTGCCATCAGGTTCATGATTGGCTTTTTACAGCAAATCAAATTAGAAGTGTAAGTCTTTATAAGAGAGATGAACGAAGCTTATTTCTGTATGTGCACCAAAATGGAGATGACTTTCAATGCTACCTCCCATCTCAAATGTGCCGCGAAAGGTTACACAAACTTATTCTGGAAATGACTGCTGATCAAGAGGGAATGGTGACAGATTTGGACACTGATCTCTCAAAAGATCAAATGAGTTATGAGTATGATGAAGATGATAGTGGAAAGAAAGTTATCCTGGGTAAAGGAACTTATGGGGTCGTTTATGCTGCAAGAGATTTTACTACCCAAGTGAGGATTGCAGTGAAAGAAATTCCAGAGAAGAAAATTGGAGACGTGCAGCCTTTACATGAAGAAATCAAGTTACATTCTCAACTTCGCCATCGAAACATTGTCCAGTATTTAGGATCTGCATCTGAGGATGGCTACTTCAAAATCTTTATGGAACAGGTCCCTGGAGGTAGCCTTTCATCCCTTTTACGCTCCAAGTGGGGTCCTCTAAAAGGTAATGAAGCAACAATAGCCTTCTATACAAAACAAATTTTAGAGGGCTTGAAGTACTTGCACGATCAAAAGATTGTGCATCGAGACATTAAGGGTGACAATGCCCTTGTCAACACCTATAATGGTGTTGTCAAAATATCTGACTTTGGAACATCTAAGCGCCTTGCAGCTTTGTGTCCAAGCACTGGAACGTTCACTGGAACTCTTCAATATATGGCTCCAGAAGTAATTGATAAAGGACAAAGAGGCTATGGAGCTGCTGCAGATATTTGGTCATTGGGCTGTACAATTGTGGAAATGGCAACTGGTAAACCACCTTTCATAGAGCTTGGTTCACCTCAAGCTGCTGTTTTCAAGGTAGGGTACTACAAAATTCACCCATTAATTCCGACAGAACTTTCAGAAAGGGCCAAAAACTTTATCCTCCGCTGCTTTGTACCTGAACCAGAAAAAAGAGCTACTGCTGCTGAACTTTTAGAAGATGTTTTTTTAACAGAGAAGAAGAAGAGCATTAATATAACCACAAGAGATCTAAGTAGAAGTATATCCGTCCCCGCTGAAAGGATTCTTCTAAAATTGGACAAACAGACAAGTGCAAATGCTGCAATTTCACGGTCCCCTGTATCCCCTGATTTAGATTCACACCCTTTATCTTTATGTGAAACAGATTCAGGCTGTACTTCCAGACGCAGCTCATCTGGTGGCCTTCTTTCTCCTGAAGTGGAACTGAATACTTCTCGGAGCACCTGTGGATCACCCAACCTTGTGAGCACAACAGAAACTACTGGGGAGCAAGACGGATTTTATCTTCTCAGAAAGGATTCTCAACAAAGAGCAACTCTCTCCAGAGCCCTTGAAGAAGATGAAGACAAAGTTTGTGATCTTTGGATGGACAGCCTCCAGGAAGAAGTTGAAAATCCTCTTCTTTCAAAAACTCAATTGAAATCTTTGATCAACAGTTTAAGGACTTACATTTTAGACCAAAACAAAAAAGTTTTGAATGATGCCTTTCAACGGATAAAAAAAGAATTAGACTTTGATGAGGTATCGATTAATCAGCTTCATTTAGCTGTTTACCGATTTCAAGATCCAGTCAAGGAAGTTTTGAAAATGAGGCATATCAAACCACATTGGATGTTCGCGTTAGACAATTTAGTGAGGAGTGCTGTGCAAGCTGCAATTACTATATTATCTCCACAGCTCCTTGCCACTATGACTGGGGAAGATCAGTCCTCTCAAAGAGATATCGACTGCAGTACTGTTTCATCCATCAACCTCCTCAAACCTCCCAAGGTACATCATGATGTGGAGCAATGCCAGAACGACAATTTTAGAGTACAAATGGAGCAGATTAGGGAAGAAAACATGTGCATTCTCCATGAGTTTTTGGAAACTCAAAGATCTTTTCAATCATTAGTCAGTCAATCCATTCATGATCTGAAGCATCAAATTAATAGTATTCAGCACTTGCTTGAGCCCTATGATTCCACAATTTCACATGATTCTGGAGCAAGTTCTGGAGTGCCTGAAAAATCTTCAAAGAAACGACTTGTACCTCAAATAAGTGTTAGTGATACTTCTGCTCAAGATGATGGTTTATTTGATTGGCTTGAAAAATTAGGTGTAGACGAAAGTTCTCAGGAAAAATTTAGAGATGAAGAGTTGTGTTTTGAAGATGTTCTTACTTATGTCACTAGGAGTGACCTTTCTAAGTTAAAACTTAGAATTGGAGTTGAACTAAGAATCTGGAAGGCAATATTGAAACATAGAAATGTGTATCAACCTTTTGCAAACCCATCTCATTGTAATTCTGATTCATCAGCAGTTGATGGTAATGACTCTCCGTCATAGGTTCAAGTTAGTGATTGCTCCTGACCGAACATATTTCTTGAGTACTTTAATAACAAACTGTGATTTTGATAATTTAATATAACAGTGAAGATGTAACACTATGGTGCTAATAATGTTATTCATTAATGGCAAGCTACTAGCAATAACTACAGTCATTGGAAAAATGTTGTCAAAACTTGTCACATTGGGTAGGCTAAAAATAAAAAAAGCCTACAGATATTTTGTAAGTTTGCAAGTAATATTTTTTACTACTTTTGGTTGGCATCTGAAAGACTGAGGTTTCTTTTCTTGTAATGTCAACACCAAAATCTGTGATGTGGCCTCAGTGTAGTGTGGAGATATTTTCCAAAAGCATTGTTTTCATTCAAAAATTATTTTTGTTTTGTTTTGTTTGTGTGCGTGCTCTGGTAATTTATTTTGTTTCGGAGCTGTGTTTCTCCTAAACCTATGTCTCATGGAACAGGTAATTTACGTTTGTGCTGTCATGAATGTGACTGTGATTTTCGTAGTGGAATAAGATAGGTGAAGCTCATAGAACAGGTTGAGGCTGCAAAATTGTTACTTTACTATCCCTTTATGAAAGTTGTTATGAGAGGGAATAGCATAATTTATAAAATCCTGCCTTAGTATAAACTGTAAAAAAAATGTGATAAGTGATTTTTATCTTGTTATGATGATATTTTGAAGTCAGCAAAATGTGCCTTTAACCGGGAGAACTTTCTTCTATAGTCTTAACTTGGTTGTAGATCAGCAGTGTGGTTCATGCAGTTTTTTTTCAGCTTTTAATATACCACTTTTTTGTCTTTGTATATCATTAATGTTGATGATTTATTTTGTGAACCGTCTAGTATATTCCTAAGGTAGGTGTAGGTCCATGCATCTGGAGGAGTCTTCAATCTCACCCTGCTCTGATATAACATTTAGTTTTTTGAGTAATTCTGATAACACTTAAGTGATGTATTGACATCTATTATGTCAATGTTATACCATTATACTAATACAACATTTACCTTGATATGAAGCATCTTCTGAGAAAATGGTTCGTCAAAGCTAATTTAGATCTTAAATATTGTGGAAATGTGTGATCGTTATGAGGGTCTTTCATATTTTTCTTCAAACTTACCAATGTTGTATTTAACATTTTGTGCCATTACCTCACATCTTCCTGAACCTGTCTGTGTACTGAAATAATGTGAAGAAAGTTATTTTTTAAGGTCTTTTCTCTCTTGTTTCAATATTTTTCTGTAAAGATATAGTTTTGTTCTGATGTTTTACTAAAATTATCTCTGTTATTTGTGTGAAATTATTATTACTTGAAGATAATGGGTGTAGAAATAAAATTTTTGAATTTTCAAATAAATTTTTTTATTGATTGCTGCCCATAAAATCTATCGGTTGAGCCTCGGCTGAAACTGAACAGCAGTGGTTCCTCAATCGCATTCATAAATCCCGCCTTTAAAGCAAGTCACCCACACCCACCACCCACCCACCGCCTCATAAATACTATCCACGAGGGTACGACAACTCGATTCAATGAATTGCACATTTCAAAACTCGTGCTGAAAGGAGGACTTGCAACAAAAGAAAAGGCTTTTGCAGTGTCTCCTAAGGACCCGGCTGCTAATTTACATCGTTTTCATTCCACACGACGCCATTCCCATATCTCATCACGTGAAAGAGAGCGGTATCCAGACGGCCCTGACTGGGCCGAGGAGGCCGAGGGAGAGCTAGGCCTATTCTCTTGTGAAGTGCGGCTGATGTATTTTATATGCCTCAAAAATGGTGAAAATAAGGACGAAATGGGGCAAATGTAGGAATTCCTTTGGCTTACATAATGACGGAAGGATGTGAAGAGTAAGTATCTGCCTCCGCGGGCTGCTACCGCGTTGAGAGGCTGACAAAGTTAAGGAAACGGGCTCGGTCGGTCGAGCCCCGAGCACATCATGTCTCTCCTGCGATTTCGTTTGTAGCTTGCGTGCAAAGTTGAGATTGGGGCGTTTGCGGAGGCCTTGTTTTTCCCTCTTGACCTTTCTGTGTCTCGTGTGATGATACACTGTTTATAAACATCCAACGATTGACAAGTCCTCTGCTGTGCAGACTATTTGTGTGGCATTAGTTTTGATGCATGAATGGTGGGTGCAGCTGCAGCTGGGAGCTGATCAATGAAGGCTACTTCATTCATTCATTCATGCCAGGCAACCGCTTCATTCACGTCTATTTGGTGGGGAGGGGCTGGTAACCATTTGTTTTCAGTTGCCAGTGACCTGAGTGTTGTCAGTCTTTCCTCTAGTGTTCGAGTAACAGAGTTTAATGTAGAAAGAAATTGGAATATGTAGCTTACACAAAGAAAGGTCCGACCGATCGTGGCCCAGTTACTACTGTATAGGTGTTTAGTGTCGTATTACATCTAGGACACTCTTGTCGACCTATCAAAACACTGTGTTTACTGTCACTTCAAATCTAACCTTGCCCAGAATGTCACTCAGACTGTCTTGTCTGCTCAATGCCAACACCAAATATAGGTTATGAACACTTTTTTTACAAATGAACCTCACTTCTGCCCCTCAACTTGAATGTTATAACAGATCTTATATTTATGTCTAAAATAAGTGAAATTTGTTACTTCCCCTAATTTTTGGAAACTTAAGTCTCCCCTATTCCTATACCGAACAAATCGGTCCGTTGGTATCTGCCAATTATACTTACTATGAGTCAGGCCATAAATTCTGCCTTCATTTCTAACAACACCCATTCGTTCCAGTGGCAGCAGCGGGTCCTTCCTGGTGCGAGTTCGGGCACAGGTGATGATGCGCGATGACAGCACTGGTGGTTGGGTCCCCATGGGTAGTGGGGGACTCTCCAATGTGTCTGTTAGAAAACGCTCAATAGCACCGGATGAGGCTAACCATGAATATCTTATTTTTGGAAGAAGAATATCAGACCAATCTGTAAGTGTATACTGTCACAAACATTTAAAAAAAACAAAAACTTAATTACAGAACATTGAATTTTATTTTCTAAACATATTGGCTGAATGTCAAGTGTGTGCTATTTTGAAGGAGTGCTAATCACTAGTTTAATCCTTCAGGTGGTTCTTAGCTGCCTTATCAAGAAAGATTTTGAGTATTATAAAGTTATGCCTACATTTCATCATTGGAAGACTGGTGAGAAGAAATTTGGTTTGACATTTCAAACAGCAGCTGATGCTCGGGCATTTGATAAAGGTGTCCGAACTGCCATAGAAGAGTTATTACAAGGTATGTTACATTTCTTCTTAAAACTTTCTTTTATTAAGGCAGAAGCTACATAGCTAGAAGAATGAAACTTTAGCTGTAGTTCATTAATCAGGGTTCATATTGGCCAGAGAGGTCAGCAAAAACAAAATTGTACCAAAAGACAGGAAAATTTGAGAAAAAATCTGGAAAAAATTAATAGGTATGGTTGTCCGCGCAACCATCGTGGTTGAAAACCTTTTCTCGACTGTTCAAAAGAAATTATTTTATTTTCTTGATTATTTATTGATTCTTTTCGTCTTAATCTTGCCGCCTTGCCCTTCTTTAGCAATTTAAAAATATTTGTGAGAAATGGAATGTTTTGTCTGGTAATGAGGGAAAAGTCAGCAAAATGAATAAAGAGATCTGGTATGAGCCCTGCTAATTCATTAATTCCTAAGTGATAGCAATAAATACTGGCTTTATATGGATCCTTTTTGTTGTTCGGGTAGAACTTGGTTGTACTGTAGTCAAAGTTCCACCATCCTATCCCACGATTTTTTAGAAACTTTTTAAATAAAGAAAACGAAACAGCAACTGCTTTATGAGGCACGAGCTCTTCTCTTTTTTGCATGGCTTTTATTTTTTAATTAGTTGCTTCGTGTACCCCCTTTTTTTAAAGCTTTATTTTTATTTTGCTGTTTAGTGCATCATTTTGGAAATGGCCCTCTAGATGGTAAAAAGGACCCCCAACTACCTCTTCCCCCCTCTTGCAAGGCTGGCCCACTGCCAGGTAGGGAACCATGAGCCATTTCATTTCTCTGAATGAATCAGTTAGAAACTGTTTTGAATGGACATTACCTGTATTCCTATTTCTTTGTGCAGGTATTGAAACCTCACATCACTGCACAAATTACTCTGAAGATCCTGGTGATGATGATGTATTTATGGTGAGCATTACCTGAAAGTTTGGTTTTGTTGAGTTTTTGACTTTGTGCTTACATTTTATCTTCACTTATTATGTATTTTTTACCAGACTTTAAATCTTCCCGTTGAACGAGGAGATTCCCAATCATCATCAGACTCGTCCGGTGCTAAATATGGATCAACCCAACCATGTGATTTGTCTCTGTCAAGCCACCCAAGAATTAATTACCTGTCCCGTCATAGCATTGACAGTCCAGGCTCAGGCCCTGGCTCTGATTGTCCCAGAGTTAAAGAGCCGCCTCCTGGAGGAGGTGGTGGGCCTGGAAATACAGATAACTACTCCTATGTACAGTTAACAGCTGTGCACGAATATATCTATCCTTCAATCGAAGATCGGAGAGATAGCTTAAAAAAGTCAAGTCTTGAAACACCTTTAACTTCCACAACTTCATCAACCCAGCCTGCATTGCCAACCAAAAAAAAAGATAAGAGAAAATCCTGCAGACACTGTCAGGTGAGATCACTTTCAACTTGCCCTGAAATTTAGTCATTTTAGTGCAATCATAATTGTTGATGTCTATTTTTGCAGGAGCTTTTTTCTGAAGATAGCAATCCTCGAGGCAGCTGTGAATTTGCCCCAGATTGTGTTAAATCAGCAGTGGATTATGTGACGTGCATATCATGTGCTCAGTGCATGCTGTATCATTGTATGGCAGATGAGGAAGGAGAGTTTGTTCAGCAGCCTTGTGACTGTAATCCTGTAGAGGAAAACTGGCTCGCCAGAAGAAGACGCTGGATTGGGCTGGCCCTTTTATCCTTAATTGTACCCTGCCTTTGCTGTTACCCACCCCTGCGGGCCTGCCATTGGTGCTGTGTTAGATGTGGCATCTGTGGTGGCAAACATGAACCTGACTCATAGCCCAAGTTTAGCTGTGCCTGATCTTCCCTGCCTTCCCCTTCCCTTATTTAATGTAAAAGAAAAAAAGAATTGTTATGTATTAGTATTGTGACTGTTGTCTTGCCTCACTTGTTTTGCAAGCTTTCTGCCAACAGTCCCCTCACCACTTTTGTAGAAATTATTGTTACTGCAAAGCAAGTGATTTAAACTCTACAGGAAAGTTACCAAAGTCTTTAGATAATTGCTAAGAAGACGTGATGGAAGGTTGGGAGGGTGCTGAGGTGGCTTGGGCAGAGTGGACTCAAGTTGTGATAAGACGTGGGTTGGCATTCCAGCAGTTGGAAGTTCTTTAACCTGACCTTCTCTTCCTGCCCATTTAATTTAATAATATATTGTCTCTAAAATGCCGAAAGCTTAAATTATTATTTTTAAAATTTTCCACTGGTTATATTTATGTATGATCATGAATCTTTATCAATGCTATCACACTGACATAATGAAAATGGACTCTTATCAAGAGACTGAGTGAGAGAGTATACTCAAATGTGTGAAAGTTGTGTGATCTCTTTTGCGTGATGTTAATTGAATTCTGTATGAATTTTGCTATCATTGGTGGGTACCCGGTGTACATTATAGTGTTTTCCTTGACCCTGTGTTGAAATTTTAAAGTTAATATCAGCTTAATCGACTGAAGGTGTGGCTCCTTTTTGGCAGAGTAATCTGTTGAGGACCAAAAGTTATGCTCACTTCAACTGCACCAATTCTTCATTTCACCTGTCCAGATTCTTATAATCATTGGGCCATGGGTATGCTCAGTTAGGATTTATATATGTCTTGATAGATATATATATGTATGTGTATATATCTATGTTTTTTTATTTATATATACATATATGTATATATGTATCGTCTTGGCTGGTGCTACCAGGGATCACTGGTCTCAGTCCAAATGGAGCCACAATTTTTGTTTTTCTCCTGTTTCTCACACATTGAGGTGTGTTATTTAACTATTTAATTGTACAGTTACCTTACTTTCACCCACCTACATTAAGTTTATTTCAAATATGTATACCTGTTGGTGTACTTCATCGTTCACATGACCTTAAGAGTGATAAATGATTATTACCTGCTCATGTCTGTTACTTTATGACTGTTACTCTAAATTGCAAAGCTTGGAAAAAAAAAAGCAAATATTTCATTTTTAATTTCTTAATTGTTAATGAAATAAGCTGCAGAGCATTCTGTATGTTCTTTTTATTTTTACAATAATTATTGTTGCATGCCACATTAAACCAGTGTTATGCAAGATAGTTTGACAACCACTGCATTGGAAGGCATTTGTTGAAAGTGAATTCCTCCAATTCAGTTAAATTTTTATGCGAATGACGAGTGTGTGGGATTTGTGTGGATGTTATATATTTGATTATTACGTATGTTGTATTTGACCTCTGAAAACAGAAATTTGTTAATGTTATGAGTATTATGATTATCGATATTACTAAAATCTTTAGTAATAATATTTTAGGTTTATAGTAATTTGTCACAATTATCGTTTTGAATTGGTATTATCACTGTTACAAGAAACGAATAATATTAATGTGTTATGCATACTGAAAGTGTAATGAATTGTTTTTTTTTTATTGCAATCAGTTATAGCTACTTACAGCTACAGTGCTTTCTTTAGCAAATATTTATTGGAAGGAAAATTGATGTTTTGGTGCACATTTCTTTTAAGATGGAATTTCTCATTGCCTTGATGTCTCAATCTGTTGTTTCCTGTGTGTTTTTGCCAAACTTTTGTACAGTATGAGTACATAAATATTTTTCATCCAAAAATGACTTTTATTTCGGCTATGTTATTTTTTATTTTATAAATTTTTGTGTGCGGGGGATTAAGGATATGTGGTCAGGAGATGACGACGGTTCTGCAGTGTCCTGTCTTCAAACTCATTCCAAATTAGAGAGCGGTTTACTTTCTTTACCATCTTCCGATTTGAATGGGACCTTTTTCCCTGTGTTTTCATTATCGCTTAAGTGAATGGAAATACAGTGGCCACTGGCAGAGCCGCGCCTCTCACAGCTGCGCCAAGCTCTACTGGCCTGACCCCACTGCTCACCGCCATACACAGCTGACGTAGGTTTTAATTTTTCTCTGATTACTGTTCAACAGCTTTGAAGCTAAATAACACCTCGAGCACTGTGGCTTCATCCCTCGGCCGGCCACGCAGCGGAAATGGGGGTCCCCCTCAAAGCCGCGCCGGCCTACAGAGGAGTGGCCTCTGTAGCATTCTTTGAATCACTGAGTGAGTTTGTGTGCAAAATCACTGCACACCTCCGGTGGTGTGCTGGAAGAAAAATGTTGACCTTATCTAGCTCTATGAATTTTATGTTGCATTGAAAAACATCTCATTTTAAATAAGTCCAATTTGTAACTAAATTTTCAGTATAAACCAGGTTCATTAAGCATAGTAAACAAGGGCCGTGCCATTCAAATTTTACAGCCCTCTATTGACGATTACATTTTTGTATCGCTAGTCGGACTACTGGGATTTTTATCATGAAGACTTTTTAGCTGATAATCGATAGTTCCGTGTGAGTTGACAAGCCTTCCGCGTACACGTCTCCTGTAGACTGCATCGCCCACGTGGACGAGGAGGTCTACATGGTCCGAAAACTGACGTTCGGGGGAAGACTGTCGTAGGGAACAAGATCGCCTCCATCGGCCTCTCACGGGCGACGGTGGGTTATGGTGTCCCGAACACGCCTCGCGAACGAAAATTTAGTTTTGTTTTTGTTTCAAGTGCTAATTTTTTATGGGTAGGGAATGTGTCCAAAGCATGTTACAGCAGACCGATGCATGAACGGGTCCACCGTTGTTGCTCCTCGCTACCCCTTCTCCTAAGCGTTCTTTGTGTGCGTGCGTGCGTGCGTGTGTGTGTGTGTGTGTGTGTGTGTGTGTGTGTGTGTGTGTGTGTGTGTGTGCGCGCGCGCGCGCGCGCGCGGGTGGTGGAGGAGGAAGAGAAGGGGGGGGGGGGGGGGTGCGTTCGTTGAGGCGACGGGACGCCTGGAACGCGCCAGGTAGGCCAACCCGCCGAGCAGCTCTGTGGAGCCGGTGGCCTACCCTTAGGCACCTCGCACGGGAAGGCGAGTCTTCATAGCTCTGCTAATCAGATTAGAAGCTGGGATAACCTAGTCTGTTTTCTCTGGAAACAAAAAATAGGCGTAAGTGTGCTTGCTCGGTCTCGGAATAACTTGCCAATCAATAACACGCTCAAAGCGTATGCTAGTTTTGAGGTTTTCTTACTCTTACTTCAGCCTGCTTACAGTTACACGTAAAATGGCATCCAGTCTTCGCTTTCCAACACCTGCTAAGATGCACAGTCTGTGTACTTTCACATTTCAAAAGAAAATGAAATACCCAGTACCCCTGTACAAAATAACGTAATCCGTTGAAGGCATCGGAGGCATCCACAACTACAATCTTAGAAACCCCTCTTTCCTTTCGCACAGGCGTGAGTGTTAATCGATGCCCTAAACAAGGGAGAGAGAGATGAGCTAAATGATTTTCAAGCAGTTTTTTAGAAGGATATATTTTCTGAAGATGTCACAACTCTTTATTTTGATCGAAAATAAATAAATTCCTAAACGAGCATTTTTGTAAAATCTCTCTCTTTCACTCACTCACTCACTCACTCACTCACTCACTCACTCACTCACTCACTCACTCACTCACTCACTCACTCACTCACTCACAGCACACGGCCCAGTCTCTCCCTTGCTCTCACACACTAACCCACGCTTCACGCTTCTCTCTGTTAATTTTGAGCAATTTAACATAAAACACTGAACAACCTATGCAGAGAGAGTAGTAGCAAGTGGCATTTTGCACTATACTGTCAGTTGAAAAGAATGGAGCTGTAAAATGGAAGATGTCATGGAACAAACATGAAGCAATCCAACAATCAGTAATCATCTACAGTAAGAAAGCTTGACAGTTGAAAACACATAGAAAAATCATTAAATTCTAATGTAAAGGTTTAAGTAAATTATAGCTAGGCTGACTACTGCAGAGAATCTTCCCAGAAAGCCAAAACCTTAAATAACTGGACGTTTATTATGAAACGAGTTTTTATTCTAAGTATCTTTATTTCTAAATTTAACAATCATTCCTCAGGTACTATGTTAATTACAACCAATTATAACCAGCCATCCTGTTCGTATGATGAAAATTTGCTAACGAGCTTTATTTTTAAACAGAAATTGGTGTTTTTGGAGGCTGGTTCAAATAGTCACCTTTTTTTTCAATCATTACCATCAAATGGTCTATGGACCATGCGAAGGTAATTTTTTGGACCATCTTCTTTTGACTGCTCTTTGACACACAGTGCAAATATAAACCAGTCTATTCCTTGGCCTCCATTGTGTTGATTAAGGTGGACACATTCAGATATCAAAATATGTCCCATGGCAGCCACAATGAGGTGGTCCAAATTACCACGCATGGTCCATATTACATCATTTGACGGTACCTCATCACACGACAAGCGGAGGACTCCGCTGTGCGATTCACCGTTCAACCATCCCTCAGCCCTTTGGCCACACCTCGAGCAGAAATTACAGACGACGTCAGCGTTGGCCGAAGATAAGGTGAATATATTTCGTCACGTAAATCGAATCGACGCGAGGCCGCTGAAAAGGTTTCCGAGTGGAACCTCTCCTTTTCGGCGAAACGAGGGGACACGGTGGAGGGAGACTAGATTTCACAACCATGATTAGCTACCCTCTCGGACTCGTACTGACATTTCCCTTCGTTACATACTTAAGAAATCGAAGCAGCGGGAAGTAACACGAACAAACTGACAAATAAGTGAACAGCATTGTTGGTGAACGACCTAATTTACTAACGTACGACCGATGAAAGACTAAGAAAACACTAAAGTAACTCACGAGAAGGTCAGTACGAGGCTGAGGGTGTAGTAAGAGGCTTACAGTCGACTTAAGTACCGGAGACCGACCAGGGTCAAACGGAATAATGGAAAGCTTCTTTATATCACAAAACACGCTAACCGCGCCGCACTCACCAAAGCACCATTTCCCCGAGAGTGAAATAGAAAAACAACAAACACAAACACGACGCTCAGAACGCGGCAGAGCGTTTATTCCTCTCTCTCTTTTTTTCTGTTATTTTGAGCGGTTTTGTGCGTTGGCGATGTCGACGACCCCTTGACGGCGAGCCCTTGACGGCGACCCCCTGGCGGCGACCCTTTGACGGCGACCACTCTTGGCTCGCTCAGCAGGTGATCTCGGCGTCGGCGATGGGTGACGGGGCGCCGTCCGCCTCCGTCCTCAGCTTGGGGTTGGGCCGGACGAGCAGGGCCGGGTCCAGGGGCAGGGGGTTGGGCGACACGGCCTTGCCGTTGGCCAGCTGCGCCAGGCTGCCGCCGAGGCTGGAGCCGGGGCTGTCGCGACTGTCGCGGCTGTCGCGACTGTCGCCCTGGAGCAGCGGCTGCTTCGAGTGGGACCCTGCGGACGCAAGTCACATGTGCACTGTTCAAAGAGGCCCCTCAGGTGGCCCCGCGAGTGTTAAAGCGGCCCTGGTCCTGCAAGGCACATGCAAAAGTGCACCGCGCGCAACGCACTCATACCCTACCCGACAGGGGGGCCACACAAAAGTTACGCGTCTTTACTTTACATGCATCAAAATTAAAAAAAAAAACAACCCTTTT